AGTTCCATAGAGCTTAAGCATCTTCATTTTGGCCAAAGGCCGCTGTGAAAGCCCTTTGCTTTGATGGCTCGTGCAAGTATCCTTTATTTGGCAGCAAGTGTAGATGCCGGCAAGTAATTCGATGTTGGGGCATGCCACTATACAGTGTAGCGTATGCCGCATAGAGTCTAGTGTCTAGAGCAAATGCCAGTAATCGCAGACATTCTAAAGAACATTCCGCATTTGTTGTCAATTTATGCAGATCATTTCGCTTCAGGAGGAGGAGGATACCACAAGGGATAAGACCTGAGGCAGCAATTAAATGGAGTACTTATCCAAAAAGCCAAGCAATAAGTGGGCAGACGAGCGTAACAAATAACCCATCTCCCATTTCTCTATGTAGATGTTAACGAAAAATGAATGTAGTTAAATCTGATAAACCACCGTCTCAGACTTTGTAGGAATTTTAGAGTTAAGTAAGCCCATTTACAAATTTTATTGTTGTAGAGTGTTTTATGTACCAGAGCTACCAAGCCAGAGCTAAATTAGCTAAACGAGCTAAATGTTAATTGTATTGACCCAATAACGCAATTACTTAGAATCGGTTCAAATGAGATGTGCAAAAACGAGCTCTCTAAAGGGGTAAAAAGCGTAACTATGCTTAAAAACACAAGTAATGATATCCACACCAACACTTGCACACAGACACACTGAGAACATGGATGGTTAACTAAGAAACTAAGCAAATGAGTGTATATATTAAGCTACTATGTTCGCTGTAGAGTTAGTATTCCACGACCTCAGTTCGAATTGCACTTTTCGGGTCACGGGCTTGCACTTCCCTCGGATACTCGTATATGTAACTTCAATAACTTTCTGACAATCAGAGGTTCTAGCCTGGAACGAAAAACAAAATAACAAAATAAAAACGCAATCGCAAAAACCACTCTAAACTGAGAAACGACACAATGATATTTCTACACTGGATATTTCCATGCATGCCGCAAGTGAAACTTCGTTAAACTAAGAAATTAATTCCTATGTAGCGTAGTGTAGTGTCCACATCTCTGTAGCTGAGCCACGAGCATCTCCCGAGGAACTTTGCACCTGGATACGAAAACGGACAAGGATATGGCCACGGAATCGGATAGCGATATTTAATCATAACAAAAAACACAAAAACACTCTGAAATGTACACCCTGTCAATGTCTATTAAATCGAAATTAAACTCAACTTTACTGGAGAATTTTTGATTTTTCAAGATTTAAGCGACTTTTCGCAAGCGATTTCCTTTCCTATATGTTCTGCAGTAAATCCAAAAGAATGGCTTGCAGGTCAAGGTTCAGCCGAAGTCACATGCATCGAGTTGCCAACAATTAATTCAGTTTCGCCGGTTTTATTATGCATGGCTTACAGCTACCACTCTTCATTATTCGGCCCATCTGTCCCAATGTCGCCAGCCATTGTTTGTTTGCAGTTCTCCGGCCATTATGACACCATTTGCCAAGCCCACGTCAAACAAGAGCCAAAAGCGTCCGCATCAGCAGGCATCCGCATCGTGGGTGGCATGGGTGATATGGGTGATATGGGTGGTTGGGTGGTTGGGTAGTGGTTGGTTGGGTGGATAAAACCGCAGACGCAGCCGTTTTGTTTGCACTGTCTAATGAGAAAAGTTTGCGGAAAGCATTGACAATGAATGCTGCTGATAAGTGTGGTAGTATGCTTGTGTGTTCCTGGGCCACAATAAAGCAAAGCCCATGCATATATGTATGTTGATCGATTGGCACACATTCGTTTAATGAGCTACAAGGAAATGGGAAAAAATAGTGGTGAGCCTTGGTCAACCCTTTTGCTGCTCCGGCCTCTCTAATTACTTTTGTTGTTCGGCAAAGACGGCAAGCGACAGGCAAACTGGGGCGGAGCACTGATGAATTGAACCCACTGAACCGCAGACAAATCGAGTGGATGCTCCACTTGGAACGCAGAGGAAGGTCGCATGCCAGGCATTTGGCTGGCGGAGAACTTAATGACTTGTGCGGCACAGACTTTTGCAAAACAAAAAAAAGTTTAAAATTCCCGTGCTTCTAAGGACTACGCAAAATGACTACCCATCATGCTGCATCATCTGCATGGATTTTTCAGCTCTGAGGCCGCTTAATTGCTGCTGAACATTGAGTACTAAACGCTTTTAGCGTCCATTTCTCTTATCACACTGGCAAAATAGCTTGGGAGCTCTTTTGCCTAACTATTTCTTCATTTCAATTCATAAATAGCTTTAAAACTATTAAGTCGTAAACGGTGCCAAAAGCAGAATTTTGTTAGTAATGTTAATTTTTAGAGAGCAGTTTCTTATATTTGCAGCTTAACTTTTGTTTCGGTGTACTTTCTAGGCTTTCACTTAGGCAGAGCACATACGAATTCTGCCTTTGCCAGCTATCACCGTCAAATCACGCATACGCAGCGTAAGCCCGGGCAAAAGAGCAGCATTTTCAGGGCATTCCGAACAGGCGGAAAACTTTACGGCAAAGTCTTAGTCATGTATTAGTAACTTTCAGAATTGCCAAAGAAAAGTTACCAAGCTGAAAGGGAGACGCGAAAACCCGAATTGAGAACCCGAATAAAAACTAGTTCAGCGCACACAAAGTATCAGGATTAAGTGAGCCACTTGCCGCGGGCCTTAATTCCATTCGGCCACCACGATTTGCCCGCAAGCAGACAATGAAAAACATCGGTAAAAAAGCTACAGGCATTATCTTGTCCGCTTTGGATATTTGTTCGCGTTTAGCGATTTAAATAAAAAAAATAAAGTAACCCACAATTAAAAAGGCGCCGCTTAAGTGGAGAGCATGGGCAGTTTGAAAAGTTTAACTTAATAGACAAGGTTCGAAAATGCATTTCATTTTGAAATTCCTCATAAGTACCCTACGTTCATTCAGCAGCACAAACAGCGTTTGGTGTAGAAGGTTATCCAATTAGGAGTCCGAGGGAAATCCCCGATTGATTCGCTGCTGCTCGCCTTGCCAATCAGCTGAAAGCAAACAGCCAAGTCTGAATAATGCATTACCCGCCACTTTCCTCCACTTTCCTCCACACCATGGTGAAGTGGATGCCCCCTGCCCTGTCCACAACCCTGGAGGACGAGCTGCAGGCCACAGATATCGAAAAGCAATTTCCGTTATGATTGCCAGAGCTCTCTAATCCCCACAACGGATGCACGCAAATGAGGGACTGCAGCAGGAGCAAGACGTTGCCGGGACAACGACGACAACAAGTAGTCCTGGCAACTGCCATCAGTCAAGGGGGTACAGTCAGTTTACCAAATAATTCCCAACGGATCCAAGCTTCATCGAAAAACTAAAGCCACACGAGCTCAAAATGTTGTGGGGACTCAGTTCCGCGTTGGATTTGTACGAGGAGTACCTAAAGGCATTCAAGATCAAGGACGACCCGCTGCCGGAGGATGCGCCTTCACGCGAAGAAGCAGAAGAAGCAGCCGGAGATAATCCGCTCCATACCCTAAACATACTTATCTGCGGTGGAGCTGATCCGCGCCATGTGATCAAGACGCTGGCCAAGAGATACACCCATCGCATCCGACCCAAGCTCAATATATATGTACTGGATGGTTGCGCCGAAATTGAAGCCAGGAACATGCTACTCCTGGGCGTAGCCCTGGAGGATCCCGAGTCCTTCAGCTTGGTCAGCAAGGTGCACTTGTTCATGGACCTCTACGGAAATGCGGTGATCCGCCCCAGCTCGCACCACTACATGGCAGCCAAGGGGCGCACTCTGCTCAAAATGGTCACCAATGAGGAGGAACTGCAGCGTCTGGCGCCCATGCTAAATATAGAAGGTCTGAAGTACAAGGAGCGCGATGGCTTGGAGATGGCTTTCAGTTTCTGGCAGCCGCATCCGTGGAATGTCTTTGAGGTGACCGCCTACTGGGAGCAGCGGTCGAGGGCCCTGCTCGGTACCCGGTATGACCATCGCAATGGGGCCTTCGATTGGGACTTGAGCATGACCTTAAAGGATCGTGGAGGGCAGCAGATCTGTTCGCAGGAGTACCGCTACTGGCGCGAGTCCGGCGTGGCTTTCGTTTTTCCGGAATATGAACAGTGCAAGGCGAACAAGACACTGGCAGCTGGACTGGTGCGAAACGGACGCAGCTTTATCCACCGTGGCTATGTGGGCGACATCCAAACGGGACCATTTTGTGGCTTCGGGCTGCGCACCGTCGAGGAGCGAATGCATCATTCTGTGCACGGAGACAATGATTATCGTGCTACTGACATCACCGAACGCAATCTCATGGAATTCTTCCATGAACTGCAGACCCAGACTGCCTACGAGCATGATACCACTCGTTCCCGACGGTATGGCTCCGTTCAGCTGCTGATGACGCCATTGCTGAACCACCAGGAAGTGGACGCTGCTGGGCAAGCGGCTTACGACAAGCCGTGGATCCAGGTGCCCGGAGTAACAGTGCACTATGTGTCGCCCATGGAGATGGTGCAGCTGCAACAAGGCGCAGCTCGGTGGAACAATATGTTTGATGTCGTCTTTATGGCCCATAATTATTACTCCTTCTTGAGCAAGGACTTCTTCCAGGCGATGCGTGCACAGGCCCTTTTTGTACTGGAAACCAAGCTGATGACGGTGGAGCGCAGGGATCGTGTGCAGGAGTACGAAGCTAAAGCCAAAGAACTGATGAAGCAGGCTGGCCTTAAGGCGGCCATCAACTACCAGGCTATTAACGCGAAGAACATGTGGCTAAAATACAAAAAGACCGATAAAGATGAGCCAGAAGATGAAGCTGAGCCGGAAAGTATTTTGCAACCTGAAACAGACTCTGATTTTGGGGAACCTTGTGAAGAGTATTCTGGTGTAGTAATAGAAGAGATTCCATCATCGAACCAGACTGTGGCTGCCATTAAAAGGGAAGTAGAGGCAGAAGGTCCCCTCCAACCAAAAATTAACTACCTTTGAATATTAAAAAATCCGATTAAATGAAATATGCATCTTAATGAATACAACAGGTAACTTTAATTTTGCTTCTGCTTTTTCTTTTGCTTCCCCGTTGCCCAAGTGTCCAGTTGGAACTCCAGGCCCTCCCGTCGCTGCCGTACTTTCTGGGGAGATGCAAAGGAGGTTGCCTGCCGGCGATCCTCCTCAAAGTCTAGCAAATTATCGATTCGCATATTAAGCTTCCTGGCCCGCGTGCCTGTGCCCCATTGATCTTTATCCCTGTGGTTCCGGAACTCATTTTCTACGATCTTCCGACGGGGCACATGCTTCAAGGCCGCATCCCAGTCGCCGGTATTCTTGAGGTCCAGCATTATGTTGATCATCTGGTTTAGAGTTAGTGATTTTCCAGAACCTGATCCCCACTGTAAGTAGCGATCCAGGGGCAGTCTCGCCATCCGTAGACCCAATCGTTTGGCTTTGGCCAGCGAAAGGGGTTCGTTGTTCATAGTGTCTACCATGGCACCCACGATGTAGATGTCATCTGGGTTGTAAGTGACCAGATCCTCGCGGCAGTGGGGCGTTAGGTAAACCAGGTTCTGCTTGGGAAACAGCTCCGTAAAGCACTGGCTATGCAAGTTAATCGGAAACTCTGGATTATGCATGGTGGGGATGTAGCGTTGGAGGCTTTGCATGCATCTGCTGTCCATCTCGGCGTTGCAATAGTGCAGGTCGAAGGGCTCATCGTTCATCCGGTTCTCTGCAAAGCACATCATCAATTGCTTGGCTGCATACGAAGTCTCCCTACTGTTCATGTGCTCATCGTAGGAGCAATCCAGCACAATTTTTGGGGCGAACTGCATGGCCCGTGTCAGCCGGTTGTTTTGCCAGTGGTTAATTGTGGTATCGTAGATACGCAGGAACAAGGACGTGTGACCGAGCCCATAGATTATGTGGGTATTCTCCTCGCGCTCCTTACGCATCTCCGCCATCCGCCGTTCAGCTTCCTCCGCTCGCACTGCCTTCTTGCGCTGCTCAGCCTCCTTCTTCATCTCAATTTGCCAGAGATAAGCAAAGTACTTGATCCGAGCTGATTTTGTGGGTAGCGTCAGCACGTGCTCCCAATGATGATCCTTGAAGAATTCAAGAGCCGGCACGCGCCGACCCTCCTGGTGGGCAATGTCCAGCTCCAGCTGCAGCACCTTTAGCCGTTTATCCCGATCCTCCTTGGTCTCTGATACAGCATCATTATTAAACGCTGGAGCGGGCTGGGAAAACGGATTGACAAACTTCTTTTGGGGTTCCTCTGTGCCGGCTATCGAGTTCTCTGCGCTGGAGGCTTTGGAAGCTTGCCTCATTGGTGCGGCACTTGCCTTCAGCAATTGGCTGCCCAGACGCCACTGCGCGAGATGCTTTAGCATTTTAAAAATACCTTATTGGCAGTAAACTATGTTATAAAACTAGATCGTGAATTAAATAACAGAAACAACGTGCTGGAGTTGCCAATAATTATGAATTGCGTGCGCGCACCAGATTGGCAAAACGGAATAAGCAGCTGATTGACTAACGTTTTGTTACTTAACTATTTAACAGCCAATGTTGCTATAGAAACGTTTGGTTATGTATTGAATACGTTCTCACTTGAATTTATATATAAATAATGCGTTATGATTTTACGATTTAAATACAAATTTCATTAAAAATCTAGCTACTTTTGCCTATGCAAAGCGTAGCCAAAATCACTTCGATCTGGCAGCCCTGTTTTCGATAACTCCCGCGCGTCCCTGTGACTGGCATAATAACAAGAAGCGGCTTTGCCGACAATTTTGCGCTTGGCTCGGGAAAAACGTGTAAAACATTTGATTTACTAACTAGACTACGCGAAAAGCGACATAATCTCAAACAGCAATGGCTTTGGTTTGCGCACGTAAGTGAATAGATGTGATTTCGATTTGAATAGGGCCACTATGAATCGCACTTTCCATTCCAGTGACAAACGAAGTCCCCGAGACGCCCGTGGTTTCCCCGTACTCAGGAGCCGTTTTCGAAAAGCGGGTGATTGAGAAGTATCTGTTGGAGAATGGCTGCGATCCCATCAGCGGCAAGGAGCTGAAGCCGGAGGAGCTGATCGAGATCAAGACGCCGGCGGTGGTGAAGCCCAAACCGCCAAGTGCTACCAGCATTCCGGCCACTTTGAAGACGATGCAGGACGAGTGGGACGCCCTCATGATTCACTCGTTCACACAACGCCAGCAGCTGCAGACGACGCGTCAGGAGTTGTCCCATGCGCTCTATCAGCACGATGCCGCCTGTCGTGTGATTGCCCGCCTCAACAAGGAGGTGGCCGCCGCTCGCGAGGCTTTGGCCACGTTGAAACCACAGGCGGGCATTGCCAACGCGCCTACGGCAATACCACAACCGGCCTTGGCCTCTGAGGCTGGCGGTGCTGCTGCCCACCCCATGGAGCAGGCGGGCATGAGCGCCGAGGTGATACAGAAACTGCAGGACAAGGCCACGGTGCTCACGCAGGAGCGCAAGAAGCGCGGACGCACTGTGCCCGAAGATCTGGTTACAACGGATCAGGTTAAGAGCTTTCTTACCGTGGCATCCCATCCCGGTCTACACTCGGCCTCCGTTCCCGGCATTCTGGCCTTGGACATCAACAGTGCTGATCACAGTAAGATTCTGACCGGAGGCAACGACAAAAACGCCACCGTGTTCAACAAGGACACCGAGCAGATGGTGGCCATCCTGAAGGGACACACCAAGAAGATCACCAAAGTCATATATCATCCTAACGAGGATACAGTCATAACCGGCTCGCCCGATATGAACATTCGCATCTGGCACGTACCCACTTCGCAGACCCAGCTGCTCTTGCGCTGCCACGAAGGCCCTGTTACTGGACTCTCGCTGCACCCCACTGGCGACTACTTGCTGTCCACATCATCCGACAAACACTGGGCATTCTCCGATATCCGCACAGGTCGCCTGCTCACCAAGGTAATCGATACTGCCGAAGTCGGGCTGACGACAGCGCAATTCCATCCCGATGGTCTGATCTTCGGTACGGGCACCGTGGACTCGCAGGTTAAGATCTGGGATTTGAAGGAGCAGAGTAATGTGGCTAACTTCCCTGGTCACACCGGTCCCATTTCGGCTATCTCCTTCTCGGAGAACGGTTACTACCTGGCCACCGCCGCAGATGATGCCTGTGTGAAGCTGTGGGATCTGCGAAAGCTAAAGAACTTCAAGACAATCCAGCTTGATGATGGCTACGAGGTCAAGGATCTGTGCTTCGACCAAAGCGGAACCTATCTGGCGATCGCCGGCAGCGATGTCAGGTAAGTCAATTGTACCTTCCTTATTCAAATTCTTCACCATGGTGCAAGATCTAAGTTCTAAGTTAAATAGATTTCCTTTAATGCTTTGAGTAGGGTGTTGTTGTTTAGCTTAGACTTTGTTCTTCCATCGGTGCTCAACCTGCTGATCATGATGCTTCTTGAAATGCGCCATCCAGTTGTGTAGTCGGTTTTGCTTAACTAACGCACGGCGAGACATCTCCTTCTCCGCTGCCATTCGACGTCGAACCTGCTGCTCGATGCTTCGCAGCTTTCTCGGCTCAATGTGGTCCAGTTTAGCCAAGAGTTCCAAAACGTAGCCCTGGATTTTCTCCACTTTGGCAAGAGTCGTGTCCTGTTCGTCCTCGTACGTGGACTTGGGTGGCGGCGGAGGAGGCTGCATGTCTTCCAGAGTGCGCCATTGCTTGGACGACTTCTGGGCTGCTGACTTGGGTGGCGGCTGCGTTACCTCTCTCTTTTGCTCCGGCTTAACTTTGTTTTGGACTTGCTTGAGGATAACTGGTATTATGCTATTCAACTTGATATTCAGCTTGCTGGAAATAAGGAATATAACATAGATGATTTTAATATGTACCCACCATAACTTACTCCTTGCAGTATCTCTGCTCGTAGTCGTTTAATAGCCCCTTGGCGCGCTCTTGAAGACCGGCCACACGTCGCTGCAGGAACGCGGGATCCTTGAGGAACACATTAGCTTTCACCTGGCGCTCGTATGTCTTTTGGGCCTTGTCATGCAGGATGGCTACGATGTGGTTCAAGAGTGCCAACTGAGAAAAGCGCCTATTGTAGTTGGACACCTTCAAGCGATTTCTCTCATAGCCACGTATCCAGATTTCTGCGTTAAGATGATTCCGCTTTGCCAAATACGGTCGCACTATCTTCTCCATATAGTTTTGGACTTGACGCACTTGCTCGAGACCCGCTGGATGTCGTTCGGTGATCTCCATAGCGACGATATTCTGCGGCATGCTAAGTTTATTGCTGTCATCGTCTCCATCCGCTTGCTCCTCTTCCACTGTGTCATCAAAATAACTGATTAGCTTGAGCAAATACTGAAAGCGACCGTAGACTTCCTGCACTTCCATCAGCACTCGCTGGTGCTCCAGCTTCACCTCGTTTAGCTCGTCGCTTAATGTACTCTCCTTCAGGATCTTCAGCTTTTCTTGGGCCTCTAACATTTTCTTAAACTCCTCCGCCTCCATTTTCTTGAGCGAGTCCTCTGCAAACTTGTGAAACTCCTCGGCCTTCTCGTATAGATTGTCCTGGTATTCCTTCTCGCGTTTTCGGTCCAAAAAAAGTTCTTGCGTGGCATAGTACATAAAGCGGTTGCGGGTAATCCCCCTCAAGAGTAGGATGTCCCTGAAAATCGGCGAGCATAAGGACCAGCGCTTAAGTAATACGTGTTCTTACGTTTTCATACGAAATTTTCGAGCCAAACGTTGCGAACTGGCGTCTTTTATATAATCGGGGTCGATGGTGGTGACCACACAAGGAGCACGGGGATTGGCGATTTCTCCGCGCTGAGAAATATTAATAGAAATTAACTTTGCAACTCTTAAATTGGATTTTGTCTCACCGCATTGAAGTCCTCAATCGATAAATTAATGGGTTTTGGAGGCTCCGGTTCCACATGGGTCTTGGGTCGCACGAAATCTTGAAGGGCAAGCATTTGATTTCAGTACTTATATACTGAGAACTTATTCCTAATGTACACTTACTTTCATATTCGCGGTAAACCTTTCTTTTAAATTTTCGCATTGTGAAGTTAAATTCGCAAAGATGGAGTTGATTCCCCTAGTAAACTTGTTTATTTGGTTGCCACGGTAGAAATGAAATTCTGACGATTTCTTCGATTTATCTACAGGGTTTACCTGTGCAAGCAGTGGCAGGAACTGAAGGTATTCAACGACCACACGGCCCTGGCAACGGGCGTGAGATTCGGAAAGCACGCTCAGTATCTGGCATCCACCAGCATGGACCGCACCCTGAAGCTGTACGCCATCGAATAAGCACTTGCAGAGTCCACACTTAGTAATTAAGTCTACAATTTTTCTTATACAATATCCTAATGATTGTGTGTTTTCTTGAACAAATCTTGCAGAATAATAAACCTGACCCTCTATCCAAATAATTCACAATACGACGTATCTTCGATTTACTTTGGAAATCCAGCAGATATGCTGTTCCTTAAATACAAACTAAGTCCTAAAGGACGCATCAATTCAAGTATTAATATATTATTCTTTAAGTTCTTCTTTTTCCAGGGACTATTCACATATTTCATTCAATGTTAATGCATACACTTATAAACTTATTCAGTTCGGAACTTGGTACATCAATGTTTTATCCTTACGAGGCCGAGATCTGCTTGAGCGGTCGCTCCAAATAGGAGGCCAGTGACATGGCCTTTTGCTTCAGAAGACCCAGTCCCACCGTTTGTTTGGCGTACAGGCACAGAAGGACACTGGCTACCTGTAACATTGCATACATATACTATATTATAGAAGGAATCCCTGCTAAAAGAGGATCGCCCACCTGAGTGATGGCCACATGACCGTTTTCACAATCGATGAGGACAAAAGTAAGACGATCTTCGCGGAAGGCGTTGCGTCCGTGCTTCTCGTAGGCTGCCCATATATTACTGGCTATGGCTGCCGTAATCCTGGCATCCTTATCGCCATAACCGGAGTAGGCCAACAGAGCTCCTTCCTGGCTGAGCAAGCTGCGAGGTAGGGATAACAGATTATTGAAAGAATAGGCCGGCAAGTGACTTTTCTACAGCGTGTTCTCCACTCCGCCTGTGTTCGCCTGGCTGAGCACCTGCGTCAAAGCTTTGGGTTTTAGCATTTTGTAGCTCTTTTAAGTGGAAAATATAAAAAACAACAGAACTACGCTTTCACAAACACTGCGTTCTGAATGGCAACGAATTCAGCTGATAAGGTATCCGTTGTGAATGGCAGAAATGTGGCGCCATCTGTATAACGATTTAAAGTGTATAAACAAATGGTATTTTGAAATTATGAACGTACATAATTGTTTTTGGAAGCAATATTTATTATTATTCGTGGTGTGTGTTTTATTTTAAACGTTCGACATAAAGGGAACATTTTTTTTATGTTTGATCTCGGAAATTAATAATTCCATCAAAGAAAAGAAGGGATAATTTGATTAAGAGAATGCATATATACATTTTAATAATGTTATATTGCTTAGTATATTTTATTAACATATATAGGCTTATAATAAAAATATAATAGTTTAGGCTTATGGGAAAAATAAGTCAACATTTTAATTATTCCCAAGTGTGTAAGAATATGTAATACATTTTTAAGTCCAAAGCCCATGGAATTTCTTATCACTGGCAATTTAGGAGGCTTATTTATAATGTAACTTTTTAACATTTATATCCCTTATCTATATTTGCTGACTCAGAACACAATCCCAGCATAGTTATGCTTCGTTCTATCAGCCACTCTCTTTAGAGACACTTATCTCTCCCATTCAATTGCTAAAATGGCAGCCTAGCTGTCTTTATTCCATCCATAACTTCCGCACAGCGAGAATTTGAAGGCGTATTTAGTGACGTCATTGCCAAAGCAGGTCACGGATCTATTACGCAGCAGAACTGCACTCTCCCCCGTTCTGCCACTTCCTCCATGCGATGGATGCATCAACACTCCACGGGTCAGAGCAACAGTCGCTTTTTTCAACCACCAAATTGGAAACGCCTCGGCGTCCGAATACCTGTACTTTGGGACTCTGGTGCTACGCAGTTAGCCGAAAATCCTGGCTAGCAGGGTGCATTTTGGGATTGCAAATTGCGCATGACTCAGCAGCGACTGCCTGCCTGCCTGCCCCATCCTCTCGAGGAATTCCGGCGCAGGGACAGGGTTTATTTGGCTGCAAAGGCAAGAAGAAACTGGGTCATTGGCAACTACGCCGTGGCTGACAGGCCGATCTGTGACAGGATGCGAATGGTACGAGTGAAACGTCGATGGTGTTGCATTAGAAATTTATTTATTAACTTAGATTCAACCAAATTTAGTCTTGGGTAATTTAAACAGAGCAAACCAACGTTCGCCACGGGGGCGAGCAGTAGCCCACGCACTGTATTGGTACATGATATCGCAATATTGATGGAGTCTTATGTTAATAAAATATTACTACCGCTAAGTATTATGTACACTTTGACAAAAATACATCGGGGATGTCCCCTCTATATGACATTGTTTGGTGTAGCCTTCATTATGGGTTTCAGATTTAAAGGGTGGACATTATATCAGGGCCGTGTTTGGATATAGCTAGTAAGTTTCGAGTCCCGGTGAGATTTTGTGTGATTTAATTGCGGATTTGTTGTGGGGTGCGCTGGCTGATCTGTAAGCTGCAGTTTAGAATACATACGCATGGCCTGTATCTGGCTGTTGTTGCGCTAGCTAAACTTAATTACAATCTTATTTACATGCTAAACATGTCTGCATGTTCCATTCGAGTATCAAAATACACATGTGTACAACTATAAATGTCCTTTCGTATTCGATCACAGCGCGCGCTCAATGTGAAACAAAACTTTTAAACAATAGTAACGTAAAGTTCTGCAACTGAACGAGATTAGAGAAGGTATGGCTCCGCTACCCTCCTTGGTTTCGCTTTATTTTGTTGTGGGGACAGTAGCAGGCTTATTGCGTTGTGGAGCGGGCACGTTTTGGGTTCGAGTAAAGCGAAATTAGCATGGACGGGTCTGGCTGGCTCATGTCCAAGCGCCTCCTGCGCTGCGGCGGTAGACGTTCCGCAAAGCGTTTGGGTATACCGGCTCCCAGTAGCGTTTTTCGGTCATACAAGTCCAGATTGTCGTTATAGTATGTAATGGCGTCCCAGCACATTTCGCTCAGCTTGGGCACTGTCATCCACATCTTGTACAGGTCGTTGCGTCGGCGCATCTCCTTCTCCATGTACTCGATGCCTCCGAACACGTACATGCATCCATTATCGGCGTGGGCCGCCGAATGGAAGTACAGGGGGCGGGGCAGAATGGCGGTCTCGATGCGGTACCAATGCTTAGTGCGCAGATTAAGCTTCCAGATGTCCGAAAAATATGTGGAGAAGTCGCCCTGCAAGTCAAGGATTTCTTTAGTGACAGCTTATGTGGTAAGCACAAAAAAAGGTGGTGTAAATCCGTCTGCACTCTTGGGGCAATATCATTTGTTAATGTTATTCTATGAAATATAACTCACCTGCAGACCGCCCGTGATGAAAGCCTCGATATCCCCAGTGGAGGACTGGTGCTGAACACACGAAAAGCACTTGCGCGGCTTTGGATAGCCTCTGTTGCCGTCGTCCGCATCAGCAGCACGCTGATCGGGATACGTTTCAAAGTAATCCCAGCAGTTCGCCTTCAGGTTGTAAGCCGGAATGCGCTGCAAATCGTATACAGAGTGCGATGTCCCACCGCCCAACACAAAGATGTGCTTGCCATCATAAACGACCTCGTGGCGGTAACGTCCCTCCGGGTCGTCGCGCATCTCCGGGCGGCTTATGTACACATTCTCCCATATGCCAGTGCGCAAATCCAAACGATAAACATCACAAGTGTATTCAAATCCCGTCGTTCCGCCGATTGTGTACAGGAAGTTATTGTGGATCACTATCCCCGGTCCATACTGAGCTGTGGGCAAATCACCCTTCACCTGCAGGCGATCCACGCCCGGTGTCGCGCCTGCACTGGCCGTTCGGTAAACGTAACAGTCGTTGGAGCAGGATACTCCAAAGGGATAGCCAGTGCCGCCATGAGACTGAAAGAGTAATAGGAAAATGAGAACTCAATTTGTTTTCACGAATTTATGAAGATAAGACTGGGATTTTGGGAAAAAAAAATATACAAAATGGACGCAAGCCAATAATCAAAGATGTTAGCTTTGAATCATTACAGCAAAAATCTCGTTGTTTATTAGACTATTTAACTTTAGACATTTTCTATGTATAGATAAATGTGTGTATTTAGAGTTACGCGGGTGGCACCCACGTCCCTGACATTGCTACCAATGCATTTAATTAGCAGATACTTGAGCTGCAGCAGCTTATCATCGCCTGGTGGTGAAAGAGCACAGAAATGGGAAAATGGGGGGAGGGACAGCAGTAGGGAGGAGGCTGTGCTGCAGCCCCGATAAGCGGAAACATGTGTCTCCAGTGTGTTTTTGTGTATGTATGTATCGGGGCATGATTCGTCATCAAATTATAGCTAATTGTGGAATGCGAGGGAAGGGCATTGCTGCCAGCATGAAATGCCAACAGCTCCCGTTTGGATTTGCTTTCGGTTAGTTTCCTCCCGTTCCGAAAAGTAAAAAAGCGCGCGCACTCAGCTGCGCTGGGTGGGTAAAATTGGTAAATACAATGTTTTCAGTTTTTCCAGCAGCGCGCGAGGTGGGGAAAGCTGGAAAACAAGTTGTTGCATGCGGCAGCAGCATAAACAACAACTGCGTAGTAACCAAAGTGAAAAAAGAGGGTTGCCTGGCATGCGCAGAGTCAGAGGAGGCGGAGGAGGGGTGCCTTCCGAGTGAGAGGCAAACGGCAATGGCCATGGGCAGCTGTTTGGGTTGACATTTCGGGTGTTTAGAATGCATAAACAAAAGACAGAGGCGGCGGTGTGGATACGCGAAACAGGGCGTGGCATTGGCCCTGGCGATTTTCATTGCCCAGAATAGCCGTCTCTGTATTAGTCACTCTCTTTCGAGATCTCCACGATCAGCTGTGCCTGATTTCTCTGCTCATTTCACCATTCAATTGTGTTTTCTACTTAAGCACAAACAAGTTTTTTTTATTGCAATTGATGGTTTGGGTAGCCTACACGGAAAGAAATATGATCATTTCAAATACTAGCAATATTAACAAAAGTAAAGAGGGAAATCTAAAACTGAAGACCTTTTCTGCTACACTTTAGAGATCACCATTTTTAATCTAATTGGTTTTTCTTTGTGTTCACCAACACAGCCAACGCGCAAGAGACAACCCAACTCATCTATTTTCGTCTGCCTTAAAGCCCTTGGCCCCGCCCCCTCTGTAGCGATTAGCATCAAATAGATACTCACAATCAACACGTTATTGTGAATGGTCAATGCATTGGAGGCCAGCTCCACGGGCATATTGGCGGCATTGCCCGCATTCAGCTCCAGCCTCCAGGTCCTCGTGGCAAAGTTGTAGCTCCACAGCTCCTGGAAGAGAAGGCAGCGGTCGTGGCGTGCTGCAGAAAGGGCGCTCCGCGGATTGTAGCCACCCAGGGAGTACAGATGCGAATTGGAGGCGATGATCCGATGGCCACTGCGCGCCAGGGGGAATCCACCGGGCAAATGTTTATCCCTGTACTGGCACTTGACGAGACGCAACGGCTGGAAGGTGTACAAAGGAGGCTGGCTGGCCGCCTGGGCTTGCTGCTGCTCCGGCGACAGGAAGACATTCAGCACACTCTTGGATAGCTCTTTACTCTCGTCCAGCTCATCGCTGGAACTGGTCCAATCGTCGGAGTACATCTCTTCGAATTCTGATTCCGAATCTGTATCACCATAGTCCACATCCACGTCGTCGTCTTCCTCCTCCTCTTCCTCGTCCAAATCGCTGGCAGCGTCCATGAGCTCCACCGCAGCCTGAATGGCATTGAATCGGCCTACAAGCTCTGCGTTATCCTGCTGCTGTGGCAGCGCCTCCTCTGGCTGACCCACTTCCTCCTCTGGCATGTCCTGCTCCATTATCAGATCGTTATTATTGTTATTGTTGTTATTATAATGATTGGCCAGCTGCTCCTGGTGGTCAGTTATACGGGGCGTTCTGTAAATCTGGGCCAGGAAATCGCAGATAAACAAAAGAAACGTCCAAGTGTGACGCAGTTGGTTAAATACGATACACTTGAGTTTGGTTGGTTTTAGTATGTTCATAACACGCTTGCTGTGTTTTGAGTGTTGATAACGTGACAAATAATTTGGGTTTTGATCCTGCTTGCCACAGAGAACAGAACAATTTTGTATTTATTTTCGTCAAATGTGGTTTTTGGTTTTTCAGTATTCTGTGGGGAAGGGGGGCTGGCTGAAGCGACCTCGCACAGCTGGCTAACTCTAAGCTGTTGTTGTTGATTTGATTTCTGCTGCTTTTGTTGCTATTGTTGTTGTTTTCGTTGTTGCTACTGCTGTCATTTTGACACACACTGCCTCTCGCTCGCACCCACACACACACGTACGCACATGTGTTACGTTACGTGGTTTGTGAAAATGTTTGCTCGTTTGAAAATTCAACTGCTCGTCAATTTAACTATAGGAATTTCACTAGTTGTGGCACGCTGGCGAATTGTTTAATTATTGCAGTCGATTGCTCCCGCGCATCGTTTCGTGTACGACAAACTACGCTTTAAATTTAGAACTGAACATTGGAGCAGTGTGGCCGTGGAATTATCGATAAACGGTCACGCTGCATTCGAATGCATCTGAACTGGAGGTGACACGCTATCGATTGACCATACGATTCGATTGGCTATCGATAGTGCAATTTTATCGATAGTGTATTTTTATTAGTGTGACCGTTTCTTTGTGCGCAATAAATTTTGCCATTTTCCCACTATCAAAATGCGGTCACACTTTATTCCAACAGTATAAGAGCCCGTCGGCACACATTTTCCACACGATTTTGTTATTTGCTTGTGTAATAAACGGATGCGGTGTCAACTCGTAAAAATGCAATACCACCCCAAATCGAATAAACTTTGATATCGCCCAAATATTCGGATGTGATACGGATTCTGACAGTAGCGTATAACGCTGCCGACTAGTCAAGTTGTTAAATTCTTCCTCCGTCGGCCTATCTGAGAGCATCCCGCGCAATCCCAACTCTGGACATGATTTCAGCGCGCCAGTGCGACATTTGAATTGCAGAGCGCAGAGCGCACGAGTCGAGTCACCAGCAGGCCCCAGGATCGAGACCAGGACAACAGAAAAGCACGAGGAGCCGCAGGAGTTGCGCGAGTTCCACAGGCATAACCTTAAAAGGCACGTGCATCCCGCGTAGAAGAGTTCTCTGCGTGCCAGCACACAGCCAGAGCCAATCGGTTGCTCTCCTAAAAAACAAACACGCAGTACGAAATTCCCGAAGACGAAGACATGGCCACCCTTCTCAGCAACGGACAGCAGTCGGTGATGGCAACCACCAGTAATGGTCAGGAGCAGAAACAGCAACAGCACGAACCTGAGGAGCAGCAGCAGCAGCAGCGGGTCGAGATCAGCAAGTCAAGCTCACCGAAACCCGGAGCCATGCCCAGCTTGAAGCTGAACAGGATGGGTTCGGTGTCACCGAAAGATAAACGAGTCTACAAAATCGTCCTCACTGGCGGTGAGTTTCATTTTTCCCCCAAGCCCTAAATCATATATATGTATACCTGTGATAGCTCTCTGGATTTGCTGTGTATCTGTTACAAGTGTCCTCGTTCACTCGTCGCCCACACACCCGATTGCGATTTGTTTACGATTTGTGTCAAGGTCGCGAATTTCCACCAAGGGTAGAGATTTTGTCCTGCGCGCAGCTTCCCAGGCTTTCCCAGGCCACCTTCAAGTGTCCAAGTGGTAGCTCTGGCATATTTTCTGATTTGTATTCATGTGGCTACCGGCTTTTGCGCCAGTCGGCGCTTCAAAGTCTGCCCCAAAACAAAAAAAAAACTTTACAATTCATATGTGAAGAATGAATGCGTAGATAACCTGTTTTTGCGGACCATCATATGAGCGGCGGTTGGGCGCGTGGTCTAATCATTTAATTTGGGCCCAGGTTATGGCTGTGATTAGAACCACCGCACAAAAAACGAAAGCATTGATGTATTGACGGGCCTATCTGCCCCACACATACTACTTGTATTATCGCTAACAGGCGGACTTCCTCCGCTTGAGAGCTTTAAAAAATTTCGGAAGAGGCTGATGAAAGACAGGCCACAATCGCCACGTGTGTCACTTGCCCGAAGATCCCTGCCAAATTACAACAAAGACCAATTTAAGGAATGTCTTATCGGTAAGCTGCGGCTTCACCAACGGACATGACTCTTTTTAGAGTGCATTCGGAATCGATTTCCCCGGATCGCTGCGCAATGCATTCAGCAATGAGCGTAATTGCCTCCAGGGTCAGTCCGCAGACCTAATCGAGTGATATGCACAGTGCCGAGCAACTCAAGTGCACTTGATTTGCTGGAATTTAGGACATAAATAGAAGCGTTGTTTCCGCCTCGTCGATTCCAAGCATGTACAATACCATGGTGACCTAGAGCCTCACATATCTTATCCAAGACGTCTAACTGATAGTTTACTTTAATTTTATCTTATCTGTAGAGATTGAACTCCTTTTAATACTTGTTCTTTTAATTCATGAATTTTTATTTAAATGAATTTGCGCGCATATAAATGATTTGGACAGGTTTTAATGTTGCCTCTAATATAGTTAATAGTATTTTGCAGAATTAATTAATGCTTTTAAGCTATTCTTAAACTTTTATTGATTTCTGACGCAGATTTCTGTTACCGCATTTACAACCAAAATTTACTTGTTTAAGTTTTAATTTATGTAAACTGCAAGCACGTGGGAATTTGTTTAGCTAATTAAAAATAATCATGCTGAAGGGACGTGGTTCTTGCAATGTATTTTTAAAAACCAGCTTCTTCTCCCTTTAAACTTGTTATGAACTCTTTCCGCATTAACTCAGCACACCTCATGAGTTATAAAACTATTTCACGGGAATCTTCTTTCATGTTTGAGTGCGCCTTTCTCCCCTTTTGCTGCCCATCCAAACAGTATAGAATTCAAATAAGTAACCTTAGCCCGGTTGCCAATAAACAAATAAAACTAATGAATACATTATGCATTTTCAGGGCCCTGCGGCGGAAAGACGACGGGACAGTCCCGCCTGTGCACCTTCTTCGAGAACCTTGGATGGAAGGTGAGTGTCGTGGGTGATTCTATTGGGTGAATGGGAATGGGAACGGGGAATGGGAATGGGAATGGGAATGATGGGAATGCCGATCCTAGACTAAGGCAAGGTAGCGATTGCTTTGGGCCGCGGGCAGCTCTGTAAGTAGAGGAGGATGAGAAGCCATGGCGATAGCGGGATTACCTTTAGATACTCCCCTCATTACAATTCTATTGTCCCGAAAACTCGAAACAAAGCAATGAGCATGTTAAATATTTTCAGGTATTCCGCGTGCCTGAAACGGCCACTGTTTTACTCAGGTAAATTCCCTCTCCACACACTCTTACACACAAACTAAGAAATTAACGTAATCAATGATAGGCAATCAAAGCGAAAGGAGCCGCTCAGGAGTTCGCCACCTGAGATTGGACCAAGTAGCCTTGTCTGCCGCTCGTCTTTTACCTGAGACGATGACCATTCCTTTACAAACTTAATTCCATTCGAGTTCCATTCTCGATGCTCTTGAACTTTGAGATACTTGCTCTACTGAATACAAATAGATTTTCACGTGAATGGTGCTAATCCCCGCCTTTATTTCTCTCTGTTTCTCCCCCAACATCCGAATATCTAGTGGCGGCGTGAAGTTCTCCGATCTGACCGAGAAAGAGGGTAAGTATAGGCGGTGCAACCGACCGGGAGACCAAAAGATAACTTGCTAGTTGACGGAGCAGAGGAGAAAAGAGAAGATAACAGATGAGGAGTCTTACAATGCAAGCATTTTCCGAGTCCACACACATATCGCATTATCCGAGCACTGTCAAGTTCGACATCAAGTTTTCTCGAAGCAACGAAAATAAATCAAAATATTTACTTGCCGAGCGACCAACACAAAGAATCCCAATACTATACGTACAATATATGCTAGGGGTATTTTTAAAATCGGGCAAAAGCGACTGCCAGCCAGCATACTATAGATAGTACGAGTATATCATCTAATGTATATATCTGCGTATTTGGCCAGAAGGCCCCCCAAGAAAGTCACGTCTTCAATGAAACTTACGTAATTCCTTGGGACACGATTCGAATTCCCAGTCGATATCCTGATTGCGTGACTCGAGGTCATTTCGCTAGCAGTCTTCCTTTCTCACTCGCCCAGCAATTTGTCAATTATGGTTATTAATGGATTTGTCAATGTGCTTGGCGGGGCGGAAGCCCATTCGAAAGTATCTAAATTGCCAAAAGTACAATCATACAATCAGATAAGATATAGAATGTAGCGCTAGGTCTGATCACATGTCCGCCGATTAGTCGCAATTCCTTACAAAGCTCTTATGAGTAATGGCATTTGCAAGCAGGATAATTACAGCCTTTATGAGTCACGACCGGACGGATATTCTATATAGTAGTTACGGCCAGCGGCTAATATAAAACACCCACTCACACACGAATACCAAACAAATCGCCAACCAACCACACTCACAGACCCGCCCACGCCAACCACGTTCGTTTACAAAGATCTGCCCTTCGCCGCTCCGGAGCACAGTCTCATCGACCTAACCGCATCCTGTCCGCGCTGCTTGGCCAAGGCTGCATCCCGGCCCAATGGCAGCGAAGGTGAGTGCCGTGTGGTGAGCCGGTGGAGCCACAGATCGGTTCGGTTCTTATGTCCTCGTTTTGCAACTGCTTTGGCTCCCTAACCAACTCGTATCCCATCGAATCGAACTGAATGGAACGGAGTTCGATGCCACGTTTTGTCTACCTGTGCGTCCTTGAGCTGCTTTCCCAATGCATTTTTTAATCGGATAAAGTCTTGAGCAGAACTTTCCCGTATCTGTGCTTTGTGTTCGTCCCCAAATGACTTGACATTTAACCAACATACCCATTCTGTTTGGCCCGTGCAAACAATGCTCTTTATGCCTTCTATATAATGTGTGTACTTCTGTTTGTGTTGGCTTCGTTCTATGATTTATGCTCGTCCCCATAACACTTGTGTCCACTAACACGTCCTAATCGCCGCGATCTGTACAATGTGTCTTTATCCAACAGATATATATCTGCTCATTTCAATAACAATATTTTACGCCGAGCCTCTGCAATTCGTTTAGTCGCTACCATTTCAGCCAACTCGAAATGGGCCATTTAAATTTAGCCGCAACGAGTATATGTATATTTATGCACACGTGTGTGTGCAGATGTCTGATATCTGGTGGACACCCACTGCCAGAAGTCCGGATTTTTAAGACTCGGCAAAAATCAGTGCTGATGTGAGATTGTTAAACAATTTACCTTGCCTTTCTAAAGTAATTTATGTTTTGCAAGCCTTGTTTGCTTTACACCTGCTGACTAATGCTACTTTCTGCTTTTGTAAGCTTCTAACTTGTTGCTATTTTAAAAAGAACAGCTTTGGTTATTCTAAATACACATATGTATGTATGTAGCCTGCTTATGCCAATACTCACGGTATGTGCCAAATAGACTTTTCGACTTTCGACCATTGTTGGCCAGTCAGCCAGCCATGGCCACATGGCAATTTCCCAGCTGAAAGCCATTTTCGTTTTCATTTCGCCACTATTTTGTGTGTGGGGGCGTTTCCCTGTAGGTATTCGTTCTATATGCTGTTCCTCCGACTGGCTGGTTAATAAAATGTGTGTATTGTAGGCGAAGAATGCGAAATGATCTACCGCATCACGTGCCTGCTGACGCGAGTTCGACATCCGCTTCCCACCCAAACCACCGGCCCGCCCCTTTTCGACGCCCCTGTGCGCCTGCCCATCGAACCCCCCAGACTTTTGTTTACCCTCTCTTCGCAGTTGGGCGCTAAATGCGCTCCATTCAATTAGTTTAGTAGTGCTCCGATTCGTACAGTCACCAATATAGAGCCATGACCATCTCTGATTTGGAAGAAAAGGTGCTTGATAAATTAAAACTATTATTTGTAATTTCCAGTGTGATTTTAATTTTAAAAGTTGCACTTTATTCTAGCAATTATATATATTTTTAGAATGTGTTAATAGAACTAATCTCGCAGCCACAACTGTTCATCAACATATATATATATACATATTTGTTCTAATACATATAGATTCCATATTATAGATCGTTTGATAGCTAATATATTAGAGGGGCAAGTCTTGCCAAGAATTCTCGTTTGAACTTGTTATCGCTTGATGTCTGTCAGTCGCTTTGGTTGGCGTGGCTGTGGTGTCCTCTTCGCTCGATTGATTTCCCGAAATTGATTGCTAAACGATTTTGTTTTTTATGTTGTGCCTGTTGATTTGCTGAACCCTTCATTTCGCTTTTTTCCAAATTCCAATCGGACTTCTTCATTAGGGGAACCGTTGCTCTGGCATTATGCAAATTAACTTGGCTAATTACCTATGTATGTCTGTGCCTAAAGAACCTCCTAATCTGCATACGATTTGATTATCTCGAGAGTCCATTAAAGGTTGGCTGGCCAGTAACAATCGCACACAAGCGGAATTCACACACACGCCGGCTTTAAAAGCATCATTCAGATATTTGGTACACAAGAAAAAAATCATTCAGATATTTTTTCATCACGCAAGGAGAACAGGTTGATTTGGTGGAAATAGCGTTAATGGTAAAAAATGATATCTGGACTACTTTAAAATACCTTTCAACTACAATCGCGGACTAGCTACTCTTATCACCTACTACTAAAGTGGTCCGCTTTAGGCGCTTATCAGGATTAGAAAGGTTTTTTGTTTTTTTTCTGTGCATAGATTTCCGTTCTCTGATGCGCAATAGCTGGAGAAATTGCAAATACAAAATTGCGTACACCGTTCCTTCATACATATGTACATCTCACGTTTCTGTCCATTATTTTCTCTTGCATCATCGTTGCTAATTGAATTAGAATTGGCAGGCCAGAAGAATAGACTCGCAAGCCAAAACAAAACGTACGGGGGGCGAAAAAAAGTGGGGGAGGGAAAACAGTAGTGAGCCACAGCGAAAGGCGTCCCACCAATTGATCGATTCCAAATGCCGCCCGATGCACTGCGTCAAGTTCAATGCAATTGCCGTGCACACGAACCAGCTAATGCCCCCACAAAGGGAGCTCACTGGGCAGCAAAGTTTTCCATTTTGTTTTTTGTATATTGCACGCGACAGGGAACCGCAACAAGTGTTGCCTACGTCGATCCCCCAAGAGCACCTGACATATAGACGCCCCACCACACACCCACCAATCTGATTTATTTACCCCCATTTGCTCACAAATGCAAGGCGACCACAGTACTCCTTCGCTAGCTGAAACCGCATTATCAATGCACTTCAGAAAGTGGCTGAATTTGATAAAACATTCCTTTAATACTGTCGCACCAAAAGCCATAAATAGAATGTTCCTGTTACCGAGTTTCCACTGTTTTATTAAGAGCATGGTGATGACATAGCTTATCGCCAAACGACAAACTGTGACTCCCTGTCTGTGGGAAAAAGCCCCATCATCTCGACTTGGATCAGCGACTACCGCTCACTCGATTCAATTGCCTTGGGTGGCTGACACATGAAGCTCTACTTTGAGTCAACGAGGCTATTGAGTATTTATCCAAACAGCTTCCTTCCTTTCTATGTGCCATTGTTGATTGCCATTGATGTGAAAGCACATTCCTGAGGAAAAATGATTGCATTAGCAAGATTTCTCAAAAACAATTCGGCAGCTGGGCGCATTTTATTGATCAATGTTTGTCATTTCAATTAGTCATGCCTATTATTCAAATTATTCAACATTTTGTTTGGCTTTGTGTACTTGTATTACTTTATTGAGTTTCAAATTACTAAAAACAATGGGAAATGTGGTCGAACTAAACTGCCTGTAACCGCTTTTTAAATTAGTATCAGCATTGAAATTGAATTCTGAGGCGGCACCGATGGAACTGAAACCTCAATTCAGGCATTAACATCTGGAGGAGACGAATAATGCTGAGTACTCTTTAACCCACCGCTGATTAGAAACTGTTTACTTGGGGAAAAAGTACTATTCACGACGGCTGAGAACAAGTTGATTGAACTCGAATGATTTGAGTGTCCATTCCATCGACTCGCATTCAGATTAGGTTTCATCGCTTCAACTTGACATCGCTGAACTCAGATACTGGATACTGGCCATCGTTCATCAAGCACAGTCATCTCACGCGAATCAGAGCCGCCCAGTCAATTAAGTTTCTTACAATTCGATGCCACACAGTGTTAAATTCCCTTCGATTCGAATTTGCTTGCAATTGTATTTCGATTTCTATTTGTTTGGATTGTTGACCAAACGTCGAGAGTCCAAAGAGTAACGCTTCCTTCCATCTTCCCCATGCAGCCTACAAGTTCCAGGAGAATCTGATCCGCACCATGGTGCAAATCGAGAACACCTACTTTGAGCTCGGCAACTCGAGCAACCGCAACTGTCTGATAATTTGCGATCGCGGCGTTATGGATGCCAGTGCATGTGAGTAAACAATGCAATTTGCCCCCTCTCATATATTTGAAGAATAACATCTCTACTCGTATCTTCAGACATATCAAAGGATAAATGGGAAAAGATGATGGCCGGCAACAAGTGGAATCCCGTGGAGATGCGTGACAATCGCTACAACCAAATCCTGCACTTGGTTTCGGCTGCCAACGGCGCCGAGGACTTCTACTCCACAGAGGTGAGTTGCAGGCCACTGGTCGGTCGGTCGTCAGTACAAATTTCACCTGACCAATTCTCTTGTCCGCACCAATTAATCGCCCGAATACGGTAGAACAGAAAGCGCCACTATCAGGTATCCAAAAATGGCTGCACTTCTAAAATCGGTTGCCACAGTTGGTCCTGAAACTCAACTTCACCTTCAACTGTCTCATTTATTTTCGTTAATATTACAAAGCGCAGCACTTCATTATTTTCCTGTAAATAAATGCATTGCAAAGGTGCTTTCCCTTTTGTAAGAACATTGTAGTTGTAGCGACTGTGTAGAGTGGCAGCTGCATTTTCTAACTATCGCTAGTGGCATTTGCGTTGGGCTAAAGGTTATACAAGTTGAGTACAGTATTAACTAACCTCGCGTTTGGTAATTGCAGGACCACGCCTGTCGCTCGGAGGGCGTTGACTTGGCCAGGGAACTGGACTACAAGTCCGCGGCCGCCTGGGTGGGCCATCCCTACTTCGATGTGATCGACAACTCCACCAACTTCGAGACCAAGATGAATCGCATGATTGAGTCAGTGTGCCAGAAACTGGGCATTGATATTGGCGACCGTTTGCAGGCCACGTCGCGAAAGCTGAAATATTTGGGTAGGTCCTATTGGCGGGCATTACCTATCGGAATCGCGTGTAACATTGTATTTTCGTGCAGTGGCCCTTCTGCCGCCAGACAGCGAGTTTCCGCCCTTCCAGGATTTCGATGTCGTACATCATTATCTGCAATCCGCCGGACCCAAAGTGCAGGCTCGCCTTCGCAAGCGGGGACAGAAGAACCACTGGAGCTACATCCACACGCAACGGCGTCCAAACGTTCACGGGCAGGCCCGCATTGAGGTGAAGACGCAGCTGACGCATCGTGACTACATGAACTTGCTGGCCCAGCGGGACGATGCTCACTTCACCATCTACAAGAAGCGCCGCTGCTTCCTCATCAACAACCAATATTTTCAGCTTGATATTTATAAGGAGCCAGGTCACCCACGGTGCGTTTAAATCACTATTGTGCTCCCTAAAAAGTTGTCCATTACAATCAAATTTACATTTGCAGCTGCAAGGGATTGGTGCTTTTGGAGACGTACTCATCGCTCACCGGTGATGCCCTAAAGAACTGCATGCCCAAGTTCCTGAACATTGTTAAGGAGGTGACCGGCGATCCGGACTACTCTATGTTCAATCTATCCCTCAAGGAGGACTGGAGCACCACCAAGAAGTTTTGCCGATCGGCGACGCACGGTAAGCAGGACGAGCAGTCGCCAGAGCCGGCAAAGCAGTATCATCCCTACGACGAAAACAGCGATTAGGGCATGAGGCCAGGAGTCAACATAAACCGTAGCCAAAGAATATAGAACCAAACGTTTGCACTGCTGTACATACTATAAGCCTACATCTTGCGTTGCTCCAATGCATGCCACTTCATTTCACGCACTTTTCTTTTCAAAATTTCTAAGTAATGCCAATCGTTTTGGGCTCACGAATTTTGATTTTCTCCTGACTGTGTTTCTCTTTTGATTTTGTAGTTAAGGGCGCCGCCAATGGAGTCTCGAGCACGCCGTTGCTCCTCAATGGTCAGTAGGCTGCCGAACTGTCCCTGAATCTCTTTTGCACACGCATATTACACGGCAAAAGCATGTTATATAGACAAAAATGACCTGGCAACAAAATGTACAAACAAAAATCTTAATCGAACGGATGCCGTTCCAAGCCATCAAGCAATCAGAGCTCTGGCCAAACCCCCCCGTAAACAAAAAACAAGAAAAAAAAACAAAAAACGCCCACACACACCCAGTTACTTATTTGCGTACTTAACCCCAGGAGGATGAAGGAAGCGTGAACTAGAGACGTATGTGTCGAGTCTATAGATTGTAGTGTAATCGCAACCGGAGGTTGGGAGCCCCACCCGTACTTAATTTTCTTGTCATGTTTGCTCGTGTTAATTTTGTAAGCCATACCGACTAGTAACTATGTAAATCGATGGATCCGCGATATCATGTGACGTTTTTGTGTCTTTTGGAAAATTTGTGAACCAATCATTTTAACTCTAAGCTAGAAGTAAATAAGATTACGACTACAAGACCACCAAACAGTTGAATTTTCTTATTACTTGTGTGTATTAAGGTCAAAATAAATATTCTTTTTTTTTGCGCTGAGACTAGTGGACCTTGGTCTTGTTGATGCGCTTGATGAGAGTGTCCACAGCACGGTGGATGCGCAACACCAGGAGATAGCCGACAATCAGGGCAGGCAGACTGACGAAGGTAGCTAGCGCCTCGTAGATGAAGCGCGGCGCAAAGATCTTCCACACCATTAGGTGGCGACAGTGAATGGTGCAGGCCATCATGGCACAGAAAATCTGCAATGCAATAGTTATTTAGCATTCATCCAAGTATTTCGCCGGCTGCAATCGTTTACCTTGAGTCCCTGTAGCATGAAAAACTGGGTAGCCAGCTTGAAGCCAGCTCCAAGGAAAACATCTTCGTACTCGTACAGGGACAGTTCGCCCCGAGTCATGTCAAAGCCGACAGCTTCGTTGGCCAAATCTGACATGGAAGTGGTTGCATCCACTCTGCCACCACTCCTGCAGCTTCGTATGAGGTTGGGAAACAGTGCGAACAGCGAAAAGGTCTCCGTACTAAGCAGGGAGTACATGCAGAAGAAGAAAATGGGTCCGCAAAAGGTGTTTAAAATGACCAAGGCACCAGATATTAAATTTGATTGTCCGATTCCAGTGGTGCGACCCACAAAGGCGGCACGCCACTCAATTTGTGACAGCGTCGTCTGATGCGAGGTGGCAAAGAAACAGAAATGCGCCAGCAGGAACCAGCCAACCAGTGCCGTAAAAGTGGGCTGCACACAGCTCTCTGTAGGAAAGGGATTGGCTTAAGTATTCCGTTTGACGAAACTACAAAATCATATACTTACCAAAACTAGTGGCCGTTCGATAGCGCAATATACCGTGCACGCTGAGCAGGATAGCTCCCACGGCCACGCAGACAACCAGGCCGATGGAAGCACGCGGTTCTAGAAGAACAATCATCACCAAGGCCAAGAAGACGCCAAATGCAATGACAATGGAGGAGTAAACGGTTGCTAGTCCGTAAACCACCGGGATCTGGCTGCGCCTCTCGTCGTCATCGCCCTCGTACATACGCTTCATTTTCCTAAAGATTTCCGGTACGATGCTTTCATTTCCGTTGATGGTCACGGTATGGGAACTCCTCGGAGGAAGCACAAAGGTCATTAGCGGCGCACATGAAACTACAATAATCTGCACCAACAGCAGACCATAGATCACCAGAGCCATGGCATCGATATGCGTGCGCTGGATGTTTTTGATGGAGCTGTTGGCGAGCAGGATATGGCCGCCGGCGCAGATCGAGGCCACGGTAGGTCCGTAGCGAGCCAGCAATACGTTTGGCAGGTTACCAGTTAAATTACCGCAGGAGCGCAGATACAATCGTGTTAGCGTGGTGTACACTACGAGTACCACGACGGCGAGAATGTACGTCTTGGCCGTTCCTGGCTTTTTAATGGAGAATCCGGCTCCGCCCGCGTTAACAAAGTCCGAGCAATTGCCTTGCTCCTCACGGCAACGAAACAGCGTGTAGGCAAAGCGTATTAGGCATATCGCCAAGACGCTGGCCAGGATCAGCCTTAACGCTGTAGAGCGCAGAAATTGGGAAGCCTTGAATTTGGTCCTAAAATCCAAGCGGGCACTCAGGCGAAGAAGTTCGTGGGAGAGCAAAAGTATCGCTGCCGCCAAGAGGTACGACAAGATCTTGGCCTCCTGGATGACGAAGCTGTTCGAGAAGAACACAGCCATGGAACCGAAAAGCAGCAGTCGCGTGGGCATGTGTCCAAACCGCTTCACCGCTGACCAGTTGGTGGCAATGTTAGTCCAGTGGCGTAGTGTATGGAAAGCCAGGATGACAGCACTGGATAGGGCCGTAAAGAAGATCACTCCTTGCTCTTCTGTTTTAAATGAGAATGTCTTAAAATAGCGATACCCAAATACTCCAGCGGCCAAGTTGATTAGGTAAACGTAGAAGACCTCCTTGGCTTTGAAGATGTGCCCAAAATCAGCCGGCCGAGAGTTGTTCACCAACAAGAAGATAAAGAACAACGGCAGGAAGGTAAAAAGCAGTCCCTGCGACATCTGAGTGGGGTCAAACCTGACCCAGATCTCTCGACAGGTGCCTAGGATGTCTCGCAGATTGGTATTCAAGTCCCGTACAAAGGATTTGAAAGCAACCTCATTGTAAACAGTTTGCACTCGGTGGGTGAGGAGTATGAATTCAGTCTCTAGTTGGTCCATCTGTTCCACGTTAAATGTGCGCTTGTTCTCCAAAGCGTACTGGAAGAAGTAGCGATAGATCTGCTGGGCATTCTGCCAGGAATGGAGCAGAAGGGTCTGGAACTTGTTTAAATGCGGTACTTGCAGATCGGGTACAATGTTAAAGTTGACTAGGCCCAGATTCGAGTACGGTATCGGGACGCCAAGTATGGTGGCCAGCGTTGGGACCAGATCAATCTGGAAAGCAAATATCGTTGCTTATCACTGTGACGTGACGTGCCGTGATTACACGTTGTCTTATCTCACCTGCTGCAGCATTTCACTATCTGAGCCCGAATCATTGCCATAAAATCTGTGCTGCTTGGAGTAGGCAAACAGCAGAGCGTTGGTTTCGTCATCGGTGTCTCCGCCATGATCGCCGGATGCCGTCATTCCATGATCGCCCATCACCAGCAGCGTGGTGTCGTTGTCCATGGCCGCCACCACGGATCTAAATGCACAATGGATATGATTCTCGCAGTTAGCTGTAATTGGGATGCCGCCTACCTTATCACCTCGTCCATCTCGCCCAACTTGCGCGCCATTTCTTCATGCATGGGTCCGTGCTTGTGTCCGCAGTGGTCAACGCCGAGAAAATGGGCCACCAGCACCTGCCAATCATCGCTTTCCAGCTCCTTGGGCAGGTTTTTCAATATCTGATTATCCACGCTGTCCAAATCGAATATATCGAAACTGGGATAGGAGTACGATCGCTTGAAGCGACGCGGATACAGGTCCGTCCAGGTGCTGTCCCCAAGGAAGACTACCGGCAAATCGCTCTTGACTATTTGGTCGATGATATTGTCCTCGTTGATCTCGGGCGAAGCAAAATTGGAACCAATGTCTATGAAAGTGGGCAGACTGCCGGTGGTGAGTCCTTTCAGGCGCTGCAACGTGGTGGTTGGCGGATCCGCGCGAAATCTCATTAGACGGGCGTGGTCAGGACTCTGCTGCATCAGCTCCTGCAGCACCACCAATTTGTTTTCATAGGGCAGGGGATCCGTGACGTTCTGCTTGTACAGGCCGAATTCGTATTTAAGTGCATCCACAACCAGGACAATAACCTTCGACTTTTGCGGAAGACACAGATTGGAGGATGCGTTCACATCCTTAAAGATTTCGTTCACAACCTCATCGGTGAGGACGTACTCCTGTTTAAGGACAAAGGATTTGAGATGCATCACGCTTTTTTTTTTTTGCTCTTTATCACCTATTACTTACAGCATTGGGATTCGTGGACAACCGACGACAGGTGCTCGTCTCCGTTTTGGACACTCGGGCCAATAGGAATCCCCGCGAGAAAAGCAGCACTCCGCTGCTGATGAGGAAGGCCAGCCAAATGAGCACGAACAAGTAAGTGAAGTTCATCTTTCGGCTGCGATTAATTAACTAGCTAGGCACACAAATGCTTAATGAGTAATAAACTTTTCAGCATTTAGAACAATGCTGGTGTAGGCGAATACTTTCTGCGGCTGGCCAGCCGCTTTCCGTTGTATAAAACTATGTAATTTAATTGCACTTTACTTCGGAGCGGTTGATTAGGTCTCCGGCATCACGATGCGCTCTGCTTGCTCGCTGTTTTCATTTAAAATTCCTCATATCTAAAGATTTTCTATTGGCCTGAAGAAAAAACTGAGGAATATGCAAGAACCCTTGGTGGCGTTGCCACCTCGCCAAACCAAGCAGCTGTTTTATATTCATCCCTGGTCTTTGGCAGCAATGTCAAATGACTTCAGCTTTTTTGGCGGGACTTTTTTGAAGCTGATAGATTATTTCGAAAAATAACTTTTTAATCAATTTGCAGTATAATTAACGTAATATAGGTTCAAGTTTTAAAAGGAAACTAAGCCGATAAAAATAAATTTTTTATTTCAAATTTTAAAATTTGCATTTATTCAAAGATTTCATACACATATAGCAAATTCAATCAGCATTAGCAACAAATTGGGTGCGATCATCGTCTCTCTCTCAAAATTTAGCAGTACGGGCTCTATCCACTTAAGATTACCAATGGATCTTTATTATTTGCACGCAAGCTCTGATCGTAACGCAAATATCTAGTTCTAAATTAATTTGGAATAGGCTTTTCAACGGAATTGGGAACGCCATCTAACCACGGAACTCAACGCCTAGAGAAGAAATAAGAGCGTAAAACAAATGTATATTCACTTTAACCGCAATGCTTGATTTGCTAAAGTTTTTACTAAATATTGGAAACATTTGGGAATGACATCAGGTGGACACCCAACGTGGTTTAGTCTTTAAACGTACACTTAGATCGATTGTTATATAAACGAATGTAGCAAGCCCTTTGATCTTCGATCCTCAGTGACCTTAAATTTATACAAATCATGCAGTTCGATGGTGTCTCCAAGGCAAATACAAATAGATGCGTATAATATGTGCTTCCCTTGGCAAAAATATGACGCGCAGTTTTTAGTTATATTAAGTTATATAAACCGTATCGACACACGTGTATATATGATTTCTGGTTAAATAAATTCTGATTCTGTTGTTAGTGCGCAGACACGACAATTCGCTTCAGTTAAATAAGTTAATAGAATGGGTGCGTGGGTCTGTTTGTGTATAGTATAGGTTGCTCCACATTATCGACGCGCTTGGCCTTGCAGTTGCCCCCGAAATCTATTTATTGAGTGAGTCTGTGGGTGAATTCAGACCCGAGGATGTGTTGTTCTCGTCCAGGGCATCTGGGAAACTGGATACCGAACCCGAGCGGGATGTCACCTTAGTCTACAATGGAATAGAAAACCGAACAGATTGTAGTAGAGGTGCAGCAGCATTGTCGCAAGGAGTTCGTTGTGTAAGCAAGCAAATCAACCGAAGGATCCCAATTAGGAGTGCGTTTAGAGTGGGTGAGCCAGTGTGAAAGATGTGTGGTTAGTGTTAGTTAGTTAGTTAGACGGGAACCAAAACAGAATCGCAACAGTATGAGAGATGTGTAAAGACAGATATATAATAAAATAGTAGTTACCGCATGAGATTGGCACATAAAATTGTTGTGTTCATAGCTTACTTTAACGTTCTCGTAGGCAGAGCCCACCGAAGCCTCGATAGAACGCATCGATTCGGAGTTTTTCATTTGCGACAGTTTCGACGAAATGCCACTGGTGATGCTGCCAAACACCGAGGCGGTCTTCTCGCCCGTGGACTTTAGCACCGACTCAGTGCGTTGGTATCTAGGGAAGAGTGCAAACAATTCCAGCATTAGTTACTCATCTGGGCAGTTCTCTCAATACACAAAGTGGGCAAACGTAGGTGCTTTAGTTACAAACAGGCGAGAGTAGGTTATTGTGTTAGGGGAAGTGGCGTGAAACACGGCGTTAGTCCGGGAACTCCAAAAGAACCCAATAAATTGCAGCCTGAACCCAATTACTTACAGTGGTGCCTCGTACACCGTTTTAGTAAACGTGCCCACACTCTGCTCCACCGATTGGTAACTAAATAAATACACGTTTCAGCGTTTTAACATGAATTCAAAACAAAAGGCATGGTTAGAAATTAAAACTTGGCTAGTCGGGTTAATTGCCCAGCAGAAGTACGCGCGGTTCACAAACTTACACAGTGCTCTCCTTGAGGTTCTTAAGGCCCTGGTTCATGTCGTCCGTCACCTCCTTCCAGACGGTGATGCCCAGCTTGCGCTTGAGATCGGAGGCATGGCGCGTCTTAGAGGCTAGGACGGTTCGCAGCGTGTTGATCTCTTCCTCAACGCGGGCGAGCTCCTGGATTTAAGGATAGGATTTAGTGTTTCAGCTGGGTAATCAAATTATGATCATCTTACCTGACTCCACTCGGCCCGACGCTGCTCCTTTTCCTCGACGGAAAGCGCAGCGAACTCGGCGGCAATTTCTGCGGATGCCACAGAATTAGCTGGAGATGCTGGCTCCGACAGGTTGGCTGTATTATCTGAACATGAAATAAGAACGCATTAAGTATTTGTAATTCTAAAAGTGAACCTAAAAACTGGGGTGCTGTGTGGGGACTGGAGCTTAATTTGAATGTTGTCTGCGGCAGTGTTTAAGTACCTCCTTTGAAAGCAACTTCCTCAAAGACTTTGTCATAGGCTGAATACACCGAATTCAGTTGTATATACATATGTACAATTTGCAAAGACATGAGTTGGTTAATCGGTTAGAACTGGGTTTTGGTTAATACTCACAAACTGGCGAGGCGAAAGGCAGGCGAAGGAGAAAGAAACAGAGAAGTTAGTCTGGTTAGTCATGGTTGAAAGTGGATAGCGAAACTTATGAAAGCCCCAGAACAAAGGCCCAACCTAAGCCCCCAAATTTGGTACCTCTACTTCTATGCCCAATGTTGAGGAATCTCTTGTAGTTATCACTGTTCGATATTTTGGCCAGATACGGTTTGGAGAAGTCTATGAACGTGACCTTAACGTCGCGCATGGTTCGCTTGGCAAAGAACTTCAACCGGAAGCGTTTGGCCATCGAAGATGATGGTGCTTGATTGGCCAACTTGGCGCCAATGAAGTCCGCCTCCACTGCCTGCAGTTCCAGGCTGTTGGTATAGTCTGAATCCACATCGTAGAATATCTGGTCTAACGTCAGATTACGCAGGTATAGCTCAGCTTCGCTCTCCTCCTGCCCATCTTCATACCAGTCCAAGACGGCTTCGGTAGTTTCCAGATCCAGCGACGGTGTGCTGGTGAGATCATCGATGCCAGGCAGATAGGAGTCTTCAATGAACTCCAGGCTATTCGGTTCCGATTCGCTCATTCTGTGGCAATAGCGGCGCTCTCTTTCATCTTTGGCAGCAACTTTCTATTTTGAACGTGGCAGCTGCTGGCGCAGGAGGAGCATGCTGTCTTGGCCCAATCCTAAGCGGGTATCACGTTTCCACGGTCAGCAGCGAGCACATTTTCTTGGCCCTGCTTTCAGCTGAGCTTTCAGTTCTTGCCCCTCCGCGTTCCACATAAATTCCCCTCCCCATGCGATCGCAGCGGGTTTGTGGTTCTTCTGTTTCTGTTTCGGTTTCAGTTTCGTTTTCGCTCTCGGTTCTGGGCCTGCTTCCACGCTCTTCTACAGCCAAATGGCAACTGACTCGATCTCGGCTTAGAAATTGGTAGATGTGGATTGGTGGGCCGCTTGGCTTCGCTTGCTGATGATTCGTGTCAGCACGAAAGACGAGAAATGCCACAAAAAGAGCGCTAAACAAAAGGGGCAACAACAGACAGCAGCAGCAGCAACCAGCAGTACTACGGTAGAGCTTGACTAAAAGTCACAGTTACGAAAAGATATCAGCTCTATAGCAATGAACTTTAAAAAGGTGGTAGGAAGACTTAATTTAATTTATAAATGAATAACTATAAAAAAGGTATAAAGTTTGATAAGGCACTGCAGAAATATATTTCCTTAACTGGCAGATAAAATATTATTTATTTAGAGCAACTGCGCATAACTGTATTGTTGGAGGCAAGCGAAAAGGAGGTTGTCAGCCTTCATAATTTCGCTTCTTGCTAAATAGTAATTACCAGTCTAGATCTTTTCCAATCTTTCCCAGCTTCCTACGATCATCAGGCACTGTATGAGCACAAAGCCACTGTGCCACATTGATGGTCCCTATATGTATGTACTTATATATACATATGCCTATATGTGAATTAGGTCTGGTTTGCTGCGAGTTCTTGCTGCTCAAAGGGGCCTGTTGTTGTGGCAGGCCCAATCCAATCGAGAAGTCAACAAGTGGACGCCAATTACTGAACGATTTCGATGTGGAAACAGAGCTCCGGACAATGGCGATAAGGCCGGTGGGAGGAGGCGTTTCCCTATGGTATGCATATCATCGACGCCCTGCGGATGTTGCGCTATTTCCAGCCACGTATGCATGGACGTCGGAATGGCAAAATGCAATGTTTACGCCAGTGTCTTGAATGCCACAACAGCCACCATATATGTATATATTGCCATCCATGGCATGTCGAAGAACTCCCACGGTATTCCGGCAGTTGGAAAGCCTTTCACCCTACGCAAATCGGAACTATGACTCATCTGCCGATTCCCAGCGCACCAAGGTTAACTCATTGTGTATTCTGGCCCCCAAACTGTTTGCAAAGCCACTGCTGAATCAGTGTCCTACGATAATAATGGTGCCTAATTGCACGAAAGGTGTTAGGTGTCCCAATCCACCCAGGTCACAAGAGCCCACGAAAACATGTGCCGCTGCATTGTAATTGCAAGGATGCACTGCATCCGTATGCCACACACTTACGGTCCTCCATTGCGGCGTAGTCTCCGGAAGTCTGCGTCAATTTTGTTAACTATTTCGATGCCAACTGCACGCACTTGTCGCTAAAGTTTTAAGTTGAAAATAATTTTTTGTTTCCCTTGCTAAGCTATCGATGGCAGCCTAAATAAATCGAAGAAATGCCACTATCGATATGAGCTTTCGGCCAGCAATTTCACGCCGAGTGCACATATCTACATACACAAAATAATAAAAACACGTGAACAAATATTTAATGCGTTATAAATGTTAAGACAACCGCAATATGTAAAACTTTACTCATTTAAACTCTCATTTTCCTTATCGATAGTACCACAACCAAACTTGTTGCCGCTCGGTAAGAAACTTAATAACATATCGCTGCTGTGACACCACTAGGCAGAGCTGCCAGATCGCGCCTTTATTCAAACAGAAGTTTCGGTTTAAAACTTTTGTATTTCAAAAGAAATAAGACATACGGTTGTATCTGTTATATCTGGTTGAAAAATTATAGTAAAAAATCGAATCGTGAGTGAAAATATCTTGTTTTGCAGACGGCAATTGCCATTTGGCTGTCGTCTCGTACATTTGATTTTGTCCGTTAATATAGGAAAATATATACATTTTATATAGTTGTATTCTTTACGTTCTTAGAATTACTAATGCAGTTGTTGTAAATATGTATGTATATTTTTAAAAATTTACAATATCAGGTCTGTTATTCTTGGTGTTATCATACTCTTTTTTTTAACAGAAGCAATCCAAATACTAAACAAAAGTGAAACAAAAGGAAAACGTTGCAAAAAAAGATCCGATTTGTTTACGTTTTTTATTGATTTTATATGGTTTTTTGTTTTTTTTTTATTGAATAGTAATAGTAAAAAATTAAAAAAATTTCTTATACTTTGTGTTTCAACTGTCGGATATTTCGCGGTGTAGAGTTGAGAAAACTGAAAAACCATCACCCGATACTCGTACAAAGTACTGGAAGAGTTCCAAATCTTTTACTTGCTTTTTGATATTTTTTACACCGCGACGCAAAGAAAATTATTTAGGAGAAAAACATAAGTCGAAAACAATTTAATATAAATCAAGGGGATTGCACAAAATTAAAATGTCGATACTCATTTTGAAATGTGAACAGAGTCGGTGTTTGTTTTTCGGGTTCTGTATCATGGCTGTGTGTATGAGAGAAGGCAGAAATCTGGAGGATTAGGGAGCAGGAGCAGGCGACTGGGAAATATAGTTAATAGATGTAAGTAAGGTGTATATTTACTGTTTAAATAAATCGCCATCTCCACTTCCACTCTCGGCCCGCAACGTAAGAAACGTTTTTACAATACAATCAACGTTCATTTAACATTTACTTTCGCATAAATCATAATAATCACTTAATTGGGAAGGGGGTAAATGGAAATTCCAAATACGAAAAATATGAGTATGGTATAATCAAAACGGGGGAGATAGAAGGTAAATGTAATTAATTAACATTTTATGCTTACAATTACTTTCGTTCTTGAACGTTTTTCGCTAGTCAGTTTTAATTCAATTAACAAACCATTTGCTGAACTTTCTGCTTACTTTTAGGGAGCTTCAACTAATTAGAATATTATTTGTTGCAATGAAGAATGGTTATATAAAAAGAAATTGGCAATTAAGTGTTTTATGTATAAAGTGGCCGGGGTTTGGCCAACACATCGGGGAACGGAACTGGGGGCGTGAGTCAATTGTCTGTTTCGATTCTCGTATTCTATATGTTGTATAAATGCAATTTCATATGTGTGAGCATGTGTATGTGTCGTTGTGTGTGAGGGTTTTATGTTTGGTTTTTGTGTTTGATTGATCCTGTATCAAATCATACAAAAATAGTTGCTTGCTTTGTTATTCTCGTTTTCTATTAACCTGCACAAATTGCGTTGTAGAAAAGCTCCTGGGAGACAACCTATACCGTTATTTTTGACACTAGTTTTCGACTAAAGAGATGTCCGCATGACTGCCGCTGCTCTGCCGCTCACTGCCCGATAATCCAGTTCCAGTTCCAGCTCCTTGTCCATCTCCAGCTCCGATCCCCGGCGCACCCCGACTTGTAGTATTGCTGCTACTGCTGGCGATCGGGACACTCGGCCCGATGCACTTAGTTCTTGGGGCCCCACACTGAGGTGATCGGCGCGGAGGCCACCGGAGCCCCGCCAGCAGCGAAGTGCGGGAAGTCCTCCTGCGACTGAGTGTTGGGCGCGGTCAGGTTTTTGGCCTGCTTCTGCTTCTCCCACGGTGCGTCTTTGATGACGAATCCGTTCTCGGTGGCACCTCCGACGCCGGATCCTGAACTAGTTAGGAAGGCACCAATCGTCTGCGGCGGTAGCGCCGCGTTCTCCAAGAACTCACTCCCGTAGTCCTCAGCTATGCCTAACAGCAACTCCTTGACGGTTTCAACGTCTTCTATCTTGCCAAAGATGGTCACAGAGTTAGTTTGCTGGTCGGCCGGTGGGAACTTGATGTTCACCTGATTGCATTAAGGGGTTTATTATTAGTTAAAAATTAAAGCTATCTAGTAATATCATGAATGCAAATTAAATATTCCGGCGAACATACCTGATAATCCTCCATGATCTTGCGAATGTAGCGTCGACGCTGACCAATGATGTGGGGGTGGATGCATTTATCGATCTCAATAACTTCGCGATGAAGGGAATCGGCGTCACCAACAATCTCCAGGATGGCATCGCGAGCTGCCTCCGCATTGGCCTGGTAGCCGGTGATAGAGATGATGCGGTCATTGGGTTCATTCCGCTTAGGCAGCGAAATGTTGACGTCGTGATCGGCACGCAGCTTGTTAATCACAGCGCCATGACGACCAATGAGCTTCGAGTGGAACTCCGTATCTACGTCCACCTGGACAACAAAGGAGCGGAGCTCACGATCGGCCCTATCAGCCTCGTAATCCACAATCATTTGCTTCAGCGCTTCGCGGGCTTCGGCGACGCGAGCGGGCGTACCGCAGACCTTGATCACATCCGACTTTAGCTCACTAGACGGGAGCTCCACGTGCACATCGTGCTTGGACATAAACTGACGAACATTGGCACCACGTGGTCCGATGATGGTACGATGGAGGTCGAAAGGCACCGACAACTCCTCTTCGATGGGGATAAGATCAAGAAGAGCCTGCTTGGCGGCCTCACACTTCTCAATACTTCCCGTGATTCGAATAACATCGCACTGACGAACTGGCTCCTGCTCGGCTTCCTTCTCGGCTTGCTGCTCTCCTTCCTGGCCTTCCTCACCTCCATTCTCGCCGCTGCCTCCGTTGGTCAAAACCTCGACGGGTTCGGTGGCATCACGATCAGGGAACTTGATCTGCACATCGAACTCGAAGGTGACTTGTTGAACCTTAAAGCCACGTGCGCCCATAATGGTGCGATGATGCCGCTGAGGAATCACCACCTCGATGGTGACCTGCGCTTCCAGATCGGCGACGATCTCCTCGATGCGCTGGCGGGCCGCTTCGATACAGTCCTTGGCACCCTTGATCGTCACCTTATCGGAGTTGGTACCGACACGGGGGAAAGAGATCATCACGCCACCGCACTCCTCGGAAATGCGGTGCAGGATGAAGCCACGCTTGGCCACAAAGTGCTTGTGGTGTTTGGGATCGACAGACACCTCACCTTCGGTTACTTCGTCGCACTCCTTGATGATCGCCTCCAGCTTCTCACGGGCCTTGTTCACGCTGTCTTCCTTGCCAATTATGGTGATCACCTCCTTGTCAGTATCGTCGTTTGAGGGGAAGATAATGCGGGCACCAGTGGCATCGCGAATCTGACGGATAGAAGCGCCATTCTTGCCGATCAGGAACTTGTGATGCTGCTGCTTGGCGCGCACTTCGGCGGTAAAGGAAGCCAACTGCCGTTCGTTGGTCAGCTCCAACAGCTGACCCTTAGCCTTCTCCACATCGTCCTTGGGACCGCGAATAGTCACCTGAATTTAATTAAGAACCTTTAATAACACATCTTGTTCTAGTAATCGTACTACACAAACCTTATCGCTCTTGGAGTCGCTATTGGGGAACTTGATAGACACACCACCGCATTCCTCCATGATCGAGGAGATGAGTTTGCCGCCAGCGCCGATGATTGAGTGGTAGTACTTGGGCGGGATTTGCACCTCCTCAGTAACAATGTCGGAAAGCTCGTTCTGAATCTTTTGGATACGTTCCTTGGCCTCGAGCACGTTCTCCTTCTTGCCGGTGATGACGATCACTTCGTTGGTGTCACCCTCGGCAGGCAGATCAATTTTGGTCTGGGTCTCATCACGGATCTTCTTGATGTTAGCGCCACCCTTGCCGATAATGAATTTGTGGAACTGCTTAAAGATGGGCACCTCGATAATGTGCGAGGATTCCTGGATCTCCTTGACCAGTTTGAGCAGATCCTTGTGGCACTTGTCCACATCTTCCTTTGGACCGCGGAGCTTTACAATATCGGTGTTCTCCTGGGGCGTTGGTATCGTGATTGTAACCTGACGGTAGCGGTCCTTCACCTCGCGAATCTTCTCGCCCTTAGCTCCGATAATGGAACGATGGAGACGGCGGTCGATAATCACATCCTTCGATTTTTCGTTTTCCAGTTTGTCGATTTTTTCTTGTAATTCAAGCTGTGCCTGCCGTACTCCCTCCTTGGGTCCCTCGATACGGATGTTGTTTTGGCCCTCACGCTCCTCGAAGTTAATGTTAACCTTCAGCTCATCCTTCAGGCGATTCACATTGGCTCCAGCCTTACCGATAATGTGCTTGTAGTACGAAGGATTAACAGTCATGACCTCGAACGTGAAGTTCTCCTCGTAGTTGTTGATGATTTCGGACAAGTAGGCTACAGCCCTGTCAACGTTCTCGGGATCTCCCTCTAGCTTGATCTTGTCCTCCAGGCAATTTACGTTCACGTTAGGGCAGTCCTCCTCCAGCTGCTTCATGTTGGCGCCCTTGCGACCGATCACATACTTGTGGATCCAGTGCGGTGCATTGATCTCCACAGATTTCACCGAGTTAGACTTTTGATAGACAACGGTTAGGGCATTTCCCAAGGCCACCTGCGGTCCACGCAGAGTGATCGTCTCCGAGGGGGAGTCGTTGGGCGGCATCTCCACAGACACACCGGTCAACTGCAGAATCTCGGCGATGGTGGAGCCCTTGGGACCGATGACATAGCGGTGCTTCGGCTTAGCTACCTCCACACTGACCGTAGAGCACTTCTTTTCCATATCCTTGAAGATAGCCTCCACCTTGGCCTTAGCCGCTGCGACCGCGTCCTTCTCGCCCGAGATGATGATCTCATCCTTCTGAACCTGCTGCGGCGGCACGTTAATCCTAGCGCCAGTCTCCTCCTGCAGCTTATTAAGGTTCTCGCTGTAGGGGCCCACGATGAAGGGATGGTAAACTTTGGGCACCGTGATGCGATCCGACGACTTCTTGTACTGCTCGGCTGACAGCTGACGGATCTCCTGCTCGGCCTGGGCAATACCCTCCTTTGTTCCGGCAATCGTGATGAACTCGCTCTCATCGCCCTGGCTTGGGATGTTAATGCGCGTCGCAGTAACTCGCTCGAGTTCACGCAGACGTTGGCCACCCTTGCCGAGGATGACGCGGAAATGCTCCCGAGGAACGGTCACCTGCCGACTGGCCTGCGTGGAGAAGCCCATAAGAATCTTACGGCGGGCATCGAGCAGCTCGCTCTGCTTGCCCTTAATGAGGAAGGTCAGCGACTGGTTCTTGCCGCTCACAATCTCGATCTGGGCTCCTGTCTCCTTGGTGATCTGCTGGCAAATTCGCTTCGACTCGCCCTCGCCGAACTTCTCCGACTCCGTGGACTTGCGCTCCTTGCAGGGCACATGCACAATCTTTTAAAAAAAATTACATCGTTTAATATATGAAATCCATAGAACCAGAACCAAATCAATATGGAATGTCATTTCCGATCTTACGTGCGTTTTTTGGGAGCTCGTCACACGAGCTAGCGTCGAACCAGAAGCTCCGGATTGCGATTGAGCCGAGGTGTTGGCCGGCAGGGCCGGAAACAGGTCGTCGTAGCTAAAGGCGGGTGTGGCGTTGCCAGTTCCGCCGCTAGTGGTGCTAGTGGGCGTGGCCACCAAAGTGGGCGACGATGGTTGCTGCTCATTGGCCACCTGCTCTTGGCCATTGATGAGAGCGATGGGCTGCTGCTCGATGGTAGTTGCTACAGGATGATTTTGGTTAGTAATTCGTTGGTGATATCTAAGCATCGAAGAACTCACCGTTGTTAGTTTCCTCCATCACTGCTGCTGCTTGCATTACTTAAAAAAAGAGAAAAGTCCTTTTTCGTTCCAAGTCGTTTACAGTACACTGAAATTGAACAGTAGAATATACATATCTTATCAAGTGCACAAAACGTTTACAACATATTGGATCCTATTAAAGAACCTTGTTTATCAGACACGATAAAGCAAGCAGCCAGGAACGAAAAGTTTCTAGGGGATTATCGAAGTGCTGGTCGATCAATCAAAGAACAAATAGCTAAATGGCATTTCTTTTTTGGCAAACACGGATTAATGTAGGCCCGTTTAGCTTCAATTTTCATCTCTCCCTTTTGTCAGCGGCCCGCAGACCTACCAAAATCGCAGAAAGTTGATAAGTGCGACCCCCGAAGACCCGCATTTAGCTGCCACCAACTGATAAGGAACTACGTACGTACACATATTATGACCGCTTGGCTACAGTAAACAAATTAGTAGAAAGATAATTCATTGGATATGCAGCGTGAATTATGTAAAGACAATCAAAGAATTGGACTAGGTCAAAGTTTGGTTACTATTTCTTATACTTTCTTATACAAAAATTAGTACGCATTGGTATTTGTATGTGGTTAAAAGAAATTTTCAATAATTTTGAGTGCAGAAGGGCAAAATCATTCTGGGAGACCTTATTGCATGGGACCCCACTGTAAACAGTGCGTGTCTAAAGGGGGTGCGGTGCGTCAAATGGATTTTCTAGCGCTGATAAACCAAAATAGAGTCGCTTTTCAGACCGACTTTCTGCACCAGAGCCCGAAACTAAGGCCACGTAGTGCTTGGATCAACAAGATGAGTGCCCGACTCGACTCTCTGCTTTTCGGTGTTGATAAGTTGACGCAGCCAATGGGCCACGCAGGCAGATTCCGGGACTGAGTGATAACTATCGGCCGTTCTGGCTGATAAGCTCTGTAGCTCGATTGCCACAAAAATGTTGTGGTACGTACACACACACACACTCACACACAAATACGCGTCCAAAAATTTAGGCAGCTATCAGTCGGATTTCGATTGGGTGAAAGGTTGGGAACTGGCGAATGAGAAAGAGAGATCTCAACCGAAGAGCAGCAGAGACCATGCACTTGTTCGACCAAAGCTGTTTTCTAAATCAATGCCCAACGAGTTTTCGTAGCCTACATTTTCCTCTCCACCGAAAGAACAACAAGATATGGCTGTCTCTCTATTAAGTGTATCTTTGTATATGTGGACAGAGACGGTGGCAGGATATCTATAAAGGGGTAATGTTACCTTTAAATCATACTTAAATGCATTTATATATTGCAGAAAACAATGAGCAGGGAAATTGTTACCAGATCATTATCACTGACTCTTAATAATAATTCATTTTACATTTACAATACATTCCAGTCAACTCAGTTGCTGTAGGAGTTATAAGTCCTAAAAAACCCCTTGTCGACGCCCATGTGGGCGCTCATGAAAAATGTGTCAAAAGAAGAGAAATGAAGAGCGCGAGAGCGACAGGCACAGGAACAGGGAGCGGAGAGAGCTTGACGAAGTAACTTAACGGAGCAGGGGACCAGCTCTATATAAAACCGGATGATAGCCGGCAACTACAACAAAAACGATCGAGTGCCCGTGGTGTATATGCATGTGAGTGTACTGTGCCTGTGTGCCTGCACATTTCTGTGTCGCTCTTTTGCTTCTTCGGGAATGCGGTAGTGTGTGTGTTGCCACCTTTCGAGAAGGCACAGGTAAAAAACGAAAACAAGCAACATACCTACATACATGGCAAATACCTATATAGCATACCATCGTTCATACGTTCGTATGTGACGCCTGCAGCGACGCTGACGTCGACAAATGAAGACAAAGCACAAAAACAATGCGCTAAAGTTCAGCTTTAAACCCAAAAAAAAAGAACAACAAAAAAATATACAAAATTGGTATGCACATATCGGATGGATTCTTGTTTCTGTAATTTCGATACAAAGATCCCAAAGACTAAAAAAAAGAAAATCTTGACGTAGTCATTTTTAGGCATGAAACCGTTAGCTTGGGTGTTGTGTTTTTCTTTTTTTTTTTGGGCAAAACACTTGTGTAAAATGTTAAACTATGCAAATTAACCCTAGGCAAAGGTTGTTCAACTTACGGTACTGTAAAATCCAAAAAATCCGGCCTAGTTTACTCTCCTTTGACCAAATCCAGTTTGATAACTTGGGTGTCTGCTGGAAAAGCCGAAAAACAATTGCTTGAAATTAATGCAATTAGCGGATGCAGAAGATCGTGGCATCACCAGGATGGATGCCCTACAAAGCATTTGGTCGGTCATTCTGCGTTATGCACATCCCCAATAGAAAGTCTAATGTTATTTGTCGTAGAGAGCGCGTTGTTGCAGAGAGAACGGTGAAGGGGGAGGCCAGCATATGCGGGCCACTTATTGGACAATTGTTTTTGTGGCAGCGGCGGCAGCAAAATTGGAGCAGCGCGTTGGCGTGTTTGTGTGCGTGCGTCTGTGTGTGTGAGAGTATGGAAATGCGGAAATCAGTGCCGTATGCTCCCCAGGTGAAAGGTTGTGTGGATCCTCTTTTCCGGCGCGGGGCGGGGCCTCAACTCTGCCTCCCCCCTTTCGGAAAATAGGAAAGTTAATGTAAAAAAAAGACAGCACGCGCGCCTTCCAATCGGACAAATATGCTTATATATGCACGCACACAAGTATGCACGGGATTTTACGTGCCTCTGTGTGCGTGTGGGTCGTCGACGTCGCCGACTTTTGTGACTGTGTGGGTGAGCGCGAGTGCGCCGCCCGTGTGTATTATCAACCATTGAAAAACACGTTGTTTTTCGCCGACCGCAACACAAATTTGAAGAAAATTAGCGGCCCGATTTTTTTTTTCATCGTTTTTTTCATATTTGCCACTGCTGCCTCTTCTTCTGCTGGCTCTACCGTCACCGCCCCGCCGCTGCCGGCCCTTTATAACTGTAAATCCGTGCACTCGCTTTCGCTCGCCGCAACTTATGTAATTCCGGCTGCAATTACACCGCCGCGCGGATCACCGGTCAATGAGAGTTGATTTTCGCACTGGAATCTTGGTAAATTCACACCCAGACTTTCTGTTGGAAGGCAGAACGCACGGACGCGGAACTCAACGTTACCGACTCCAAGTAAAATGTGAATGAACAAGAGCGAACGTGGCAAATAGAGATGGGCGATAGGCCACAGCGGGTGCAGGGTTGTCGCTGATTCCAATCGCTGGCGAACTATCAAATCGAACTATCGACTGTTGGGGCTAAATACCATGGCCGTCTTTTGGGGATATTCGAAAACTAATTTAATAAATATAACATATTGTAATGTACATATTCTAGCAAAAACCAGACTCAGATACACAGAAAACCGAACACCAGTTTTCGGAGGTGATAATCGTTATTAAACGCTTCTAACAGGTTTTCTTTATATGAAAATTAAAAATGATTAACAAACTAAATAAAAATGTTGAAGTGTTACATGTTGCTCTATTGAAATTAATTTTATTAATCAGATGGCAAAGACATGAAATGCTTTTCAATTGACTTCTTTAATAGAGCAAGAAATTTTTGTTGTAATTGAAATATCGCATATTATCAGCCGTCGGCTAGGGTTATCGATAGTCAGTTCCAGCTTCGGCCTACCACCACTAAATTGAAAAAGAGCAAAGAATCACAAAGGCAAAAAACTCCCCAATCTGTGGAATTTCCGGAAGCGAGATCACATTCAAAGCTACCAGTTATCAGCGAGCAGCATGTCGAAGCTCAGGAACCTGTTGCCCACAATCTTTGGCGGGAAGGAGGCACAGAATCCGAAAACCGTGGAGGGACGTCTGGAAAAGGACGCAGCTCTTGTGGACGAAAACGAATCAGATAACAACAACAGCGGAGCCCTGGCGCTGCCCTCTTCCGCTGGTACGCCCACAGCCTCCGCGGATTTGACCGAATCCGTGCTGCGTGAGCTCAGCGATCCCAATTACAATTCAATGGATGTGGTGCAGTCCGCCAATATTCCGGGCACCCTCAGCAACGCCCAGACGAACAACACAATGAACGTACACAGCGCCCAGCAACAGGTGGTCATGAACTTCTCAAATGCCAGTAATCTGCACTTCGGCTCCGTCTACAACTTTAACCAGAGTTTGAGCGCCTGCAGCTCGCGAAAGGGAAGTACAAGTGCCACAGAGGAGTCGGTCGCCTCCCCAGAGGGCAAGCCGCGACCAAGTGCGGCCCGCAAAACGACAAGCATTGTGGCCATGATGCAGTCACAAGAGGAGCCGGATATGCGTTTGCTCGACGTGGTTTCCACGCACTTGGGCGAGGGCTGGAAACAGGTGATGCGTGATCTGGGCCAGTCGGAAGGACAGATCGACCAGGCCATAATCGATCACCAGATGCATGGCAATATCAGAGAGGTAAGCCTCCTGAAGTTTAAATCTTGAAGCAACCCAGAGAACGGAAATCACTTGAAATCATAACTCGTAAACCCCGTACTCAAATTAATATGCTAAACAACAGACTACGTCGAGATGATTGTGACGCATCAGACTAATTTGAACTATTTACTTTTATGACTCAAGTAACACTATCACTGTTAGATTTCCTGCTTTTAAAATTCTCAAATAATATAAATTAGCTTACTTTAATTTTAGCTATTTCTTTTATATAATACTGATAGTGCTTCCACTTGTTAGTTTGATTAGATTGCACGTTGTGTTTAAATGTTACAACTCTGTTGTTAGAGTACTAGACCATTTTGATGAAACTTTAGAAATAGAATCATAGCGTGCCTAAAATCAGAAAATTACCACATGCTTTGTTTCTACAGGTGATTTACCAGCTATTGCTCCAGTGGGTTCGAAGCTCGGAGAACGGTGTGGCCACCGTTGGACGACTTACTACGCTGCTGTGGGAGTCCCAGCATCGTGACTGCGTACAGCGCATGAAACTGGTTTGGAAGGCACTGGAGAAGCGCAAGACAAATAGCTAGCCAGTGAGTGGGATTTAAAAGCAAAGATTCCAGAAAGAAAACGATGCATTCGAAGTAGCCTCTTGATGTCCAAGCCAGCCGGAAGGTGACAACTGGAAATGTTTTACTCACCAACTTTTGATAAATTTACAGCGGCCTTTGACGGACGGCATCAAGTGTTAGAGAGATGAGACCATCAGGGGATATGTGTGCAATATTTGATTATAAATCCAACCTATCGAATAAGTGCGTAGCATTGCATTCATTGTTATTATTGCAGTTTAATCTTTAAGTTGTGATATTTGTGCCGAAAAAAAGAACCAGCACTTTGAGCTGGAATATGAAAGCATTTTTGTAAAGATTATACAAATAGAAGCTTTATTGTTACGTAATCAGAACACAATTCATTTGTAACCTTTAAGCCAGCTGGAGTGCACAATCACACAATCTTTGTGATCTTCGAGCTAAACATGTCGACCAACATCTGTGCGCCGTTGCCGTTGAGCGACTGGTAATTGGGCTGTGCGGCCATCCTGTCTAGCCAGCCGTTCAGCTTGGGATAGCGCTTGGCATCGATAGGGGCCAAGCCCACTAGGCTAGAGACGGACGAAACTATACTGTAGTCTGCGATGGTTATGCCCGTTCCGCAGAGATAAGGCTGATTAGCGATGAACGCTTCCAGAAAGTCATAGGCCTCGTAGATGGCGTCAATCTTTGAGCGCGGCACCTCTGTCTCGTTTTTGTAGAACAATGGAAGGGCAATGTTCCGGATGCAGCCCTGGAACAACACACCCGACTCAAAGTGCAACCGTTGATCAACAAGGGCGCGTTTGAAGTAATCCTTGGGATACAGGTCATCATTCTTGGCATAGCGCCTAACAAGGTAAGCGCAAATGGCGTGACTCTCCCAGATGAACTTGCCATCGTCCTCCAGCACGGGCACCGTGTGCTGCGGATTCTTCAGGCTGAACTCCTTTGTCTTGTGCTCACCGGCCAGCAGGTTCACAAGCTTATACTCATACTGAAGGCCCAGGGCGTCAAGGGTCAGTTTGCAGGCCCGCACCGGCGGACTAGGCTCCAAACCGTACAGTACTAATTTTCCCATCGCTATCAGGTGTGCGTCCGCTCGCCTTGGCTGTCGATTTGAAACTAAACCTGCTCCGACTATCGCAATTAACGATCGGGCAACGATCAGTTCATTTTATTCCAATTTATATACGCTACTTGAGTATTCCAAGCTTTCTCACTGATAATTGCTTTCCTTCTGATTGACATTATATTTCTTTTGGATATATTGAATGTGTAATGCTGTGTAATTGAAATAGAAAAACTTGTCTATTTTCAGATAATTAGATTATCTTTATTGACGCTTTCTACTGAGCCACTCCATGGTCTGTTAAGTGTTTTGGTTCTCATGCCTTATCATATTTTGTTTAAGTGTTGTGGAAAATTCTTCCACTTGACCTATTCGATCTGTCTCCTTACAGCAGAACAATGTTAAGATTTTTAAAACTGCTTATAATCGAAATCATAAGATATTATTATATTAAAAATAATTTTCCACTAGTTATTTTTATGACAGAATAGTTGAGATATTCGGTTGCATGACTTGTGTAATTAAGGTGCTAATATCATGTTAGCCCTGTGTAATTTTTAGGAAAGCTTTTGGAATTTTTGTGCTTTTGCGTGAGTTTATTTTACTGGGGAAATAAAACTATTATTAATGAATAAGCTAAAAGCATATAATTAATCAATAAAAATGTTTTCTGTTCGCCATTTTTCTAGAGCTTCAAAGCTAAGATATTTCGCATTTGATTTCTTTGTGCTCTTGGCCAATTACAATTATATATTACATTATATACAATTATATATATTATTTTACATTGTATAGAAGGAGCCCAGGAGCCCAGCTTGCAAGCTGAATTATTGGTAAACTAATTGTACTTAACAATGTACTTAATAACTAAAAACAGAAAACAAAAGTCTTCTGCATGATCATGTGTACGCCATGTTGCCTTATATGAGTTTGTAGAAATGTTTTTATTATATATCTTAATTCAGCTTAAGGAATATTCAATTCGCTATATATGAAGCAGGAAATATTAAGTTGAGAAGGTAAAATTGAATTTCTTGAGTAGGGCCACCAAATCGCGGGCACCTTTGCCACATGCCTCCTCGTAATAAGGTAGTTCCTCAATCCTCTTGATCCACGCAGTTGTTTTGGCATATTTCACTGGATCGATGTCCACGAATACCGCCAGTGCGGTGATCGATGTGATGAGGCTAAAGTCCGCTATGGTCAGTTGATCTCCGGCAATGAAATTATGTCCGGTAAGGAAAGTCTCCACAAAGTCGTAGATCTCTATGACGGCATCGTAACGCTCCTTGGGAATCGTGGTCTGGCCGGACGCAAAGAGTGGCTTGGTGATGCCTCTCAGTCCGTTGACAAAGACCACTCCGGACTCGAAGTGCAATCGCTGATCCACCACAGCCCGCTGGAGCAGATCCTTCGGATAAAGAGTGTCACTCTGGCCATACTTGGACACCAGATAAGCGCTGATTGCATGTGAGTCCCAGATGAAGTGGCCATCGTCCTCCAAAGTGGGCACCGTGTGCTGCGGATTCTTTCGCAAGAACTCAGGCGAAAGGGTCTCCTTGGCCCGGGTATTTATTTTGACGTATTCGTAGGGAATACCGAGGGCGCCCAAGGTCAATTTGGCGGCCCGAACTGGAGGACTAGCCTCTGTTCCGTACAAAATCAACTTGGACATATTGCCTCCAAGAGGTTGGCTCTATTACTAAAAGTGGAAGGTGAAGAGGCACCGTATTTATTTGATTTTGAAAGAGAGCGTTGAAGAGGCCCTTTTCGCTAGAGAGTTGATAAAAATGGTAATGGGGCTCTTCTGTTGCCTATATATTTTCAATTTTATTGTTTACAGTACTGTAAGAAATACTTAAGAACATAATTAAAAAATACATAATTTACAATTATTTATAAAGTGATTTTTTAGTAACAGCATAATATGATTCACTTTGATGCGAAAGTGAAGTTAGTCTGCCTGATGATGGAACCAAATGCACGAGCTCCATTGCCATTGGCCTCCTCGTAGTAGGTAAGCTGCTGTAGTCTCTTGATCCAGGCAGCAATCCGGGGGTATTTGCCCGCGTCCACCTGCACAAAGGCCTCCAGCGAGGACACAGTTGAGATGATACTGAAGTCCGCAATCGTAAGCTGGCTGCCGGCGACGCAGTCATTTCCAGCAAGGAAGGTCTCCAAGAAGTCATAGACCTCTGTAATCGCATCGTAACGCTCCTTGGGAATCGATTGCCGACCAGCAAAAAGTGGCTTCGTAATGCTCCTCAGTGCGTTGGCGAATATCACCCCAGACTCGAAGTGCAATCGCTGATCCACCACAGCGCGCTGGAGGAGATCTTTCGGATAGAGACTGTCTGTCCTGCCGTACTTGGACACCAGATAGGCAATGATGGCATGTGAGTCCCAGATGTAATGTCCATCGTCCTCCAACACGGGCACCGTGTGCTGGGGGTTCTTCTTCAGAAACTCCTCAGAGACGTTCTCATCGGCCAGAGTGTTTACCACCACGAATTCGTAGGGAACACCCAGGGCAGCCAAGGTCAATTTGGCCGCTCGAACTGGCGGACTTGCCTCCATGCCGTACAGGATTAGCTTGGGCATCTTGTCGCTGGCAGGTGTCTTCCATTACTAAACGCAAGCATCGAAGAGATACTATATTTATTGGATTTTTAAAGAGAGTGATCAAGAGAAGCGAGAGCAGTAGATAAGAAAACTAGTTTTCTATTTTTACCTCCCCTTTTCTATTGATTTGTGTCCAAGTCAATAATTTATTTCACCACAAAAATGTGCGTTACTAGCACGTTTTCTTAACAATTCTTTATTGTGACTGTATTTGGTGTGAAAGATACATATCAGTTGTCGAATGTGAAGTTAGTCTTCTTGAAAATGGCCACCAACTGGCGGACGCCCTTGCCATTGGCGTCCTCGTAGTAAGGTAGCTGTTCCAGCTTTTTGATCCAAGCACCTATCCTGGGATACTTGGCCGTATCCAAGGACACAAAGGCCTCAATGGAGGACACAGATGAAAGGAGACTGAAGTCCGCAATGGTCAGTTGATTTCCAGCGATGTAATCGTGTCCCTTGAGAAAGGTTTCTACGAAGTCATAGATCTCGATAATGGCATCGTATCGCTCCTTGGGTACCTTCGTCTGTCCCTGGAAGAGAACTAATTTGGAAATGGTCCTTATGCCATTGGCAAAGACCACTCCGGACTCAAAGTGCAGTCGCTGATCCACAACTGCCCGCTGGAGAGGATCTTTCGGGTATAGGGCATCGGAATCAGCATATTTGGAGACCAAATAGGCCATGATGGCATGCGAGTCCCAGATGTAATGACCGTCATCCTCCAGGGTGGGCACCGTATGCTGCGGATTCTTCTCCAGGTATTCCGGAGAAAGTTGGGCACGAGCCACAATGTCAACGTTTACATAGTCGTACGTTAGGTTTAGAGCGGCCAAAGTCAGTTTTACAGCGCGAACTGGGGGACTGGGGTCCAAGCCGTATAAGGTCAATTTAACCATCTTGTCGCAGTGGGGCCTCTTTTCAAACTGACCCGTAACTGATGTAGAACTCATATTATAAGACTTGGGATCAGCGCAAGAGAACATTTAAGAGAGATTCGTTTACCAGATTTACGAAATTTACTGCACTTTACAAGTCAATAATGAAATGTATGCATGTGATGATATGTATAAACATGCATACTCGTATATCTTTGTCATACGACTTCACATTTTGAATAACCTACTCTTTTGCACTCCCTTATTTATATTCCTTTTTATGTTTATTTTTAACCTATCCCAACATCTAGAGGTAATAAAACTGATTAAAAGGCTTTTAGCGAGAACATATGAGAGCACCCTATGAATCACATAGAGAGAAAGACAACAAGTTTTCTTTGATAACCGCTTATCACATGTGAAAATGAGTAAAATGCAAGTCATGATGACAGAGGCGAATAAAATGGAAAGCCCTCGATAATTTTTGTTGCCGGCAAAGGTATACATATATATCTATGTATGTATATGTACATATGCATGATATAATAAGTTCTCTTTATACTTAGAACACATTTTATTCTCTTGTTACTTGAATGGAACTAAGTTCACTTGTTTACTACACCGATATTTTTCTCTTAGATAAAAAGTATAGAGCTAACGAAACCCATTTTATTTCATAAAATTTTATTACAGTTTCAAAGCCCTATGATGCAAAAGTGAAGTTGGTGGACTTTAGAATGGCCCCCAATTCCCGGGCTCCTTTCGCATTGGCCTCCTCGTAGTAAGGCAGCTGCTCCAATCGCTTGACCCATTCACTGATCCTGGGGTATTTCACCCGATCGATGTCCACGAACGCCACCAGGGAGGTAATTGACGAGATCAGGCTAAAGTCGGCAATGGTGAGCCGATCCCCAGCAATGTAATCATGTCCAGCGAGGAAGGTCTCCACAAAGTCATAGATCTCGACAATGGCATCGTAGCGTTCCTTGGGTATCGTTTTCAGGCCATTAAAGAACAGCGGCTTGGTGATGGCCTTAATGCCATTGGCGAAAACCACTCCTGTCTCGAAATGCAGCCGCTGATCCACCACAGCTCGCTGGAGCAGATCTCTGGGGTACAGGGTATCCGAATCGGCATATTTGGACACCAGATACGCGATGATGGCATGCGAGTCCCAAATGCAGTGGCCATCATCTTCCAGCGTCGGCACCGTGTGCTCTGGATTCTTTTTCAGATATTCCGCAGAAAACTGTTCCCGACCCGAGATATTAACATTTACGAACTCATAGGGCAGCTGGAGGGCAGCCAGAGTAAGTTTAACGGCACGGACTGGCGGACTGGGATCCACACCATATAGGGTTAACTTACCCATGTTTGCACACTGAGTTATGGTGCTCTACTGATTCTTGGGATCGGAAGCGTACACATTTTATTGCCAAATTGAAATGAAAAGAGCACGGCTAAGAGACATTCCTAAGAGTATTTCTGTTCATAAACTTGTTCTGTTATACACTTGTTGGTCCTTTTAGAGTGGATTAGAGGATAACAAGTGTTTTCATGAAACTTTGAAATGATTTAAAACTACAAATTTCATAAGTACTGCTCTGCTCAAATTATGCAATCAATATATACCGGTTCGTCGAACCCTAATCAAAACAATCTATAATTGAGTCACTGATAGTTCCCATGCGGTTGTTGATAACAACCCATCAAGTTTCTTTGCCAGGAATCGAGTAAACAAGAAAGTCATGCTTACAACTATTGACAATCGCTCCATAAAATTGCTATTTGCCCCTAATGAGCACACAACTTCTTTGGAAAAATAAGGGCAGTATTCCATTTTTCATTTCCTTTGAAAATGAATTGCATTTTTCTTGAAACAATTCGTTTAAGGGGTGCTTTGCATAATTTATTTGATACATGCCAACATAAAAGATAGGAAAAGCTATTTCGATTGCGAATATTGATTTTGTGATAGCAAAACTGGGTCATTTCCAATTAAAATGTGAAGCCATTTACTGCAGAAATCAAGAGTGGCCCTTAGGCAACTATAGTGAAGTTTTTGGAGCGCAAGAGCTGCACAAACTGGGCAGCTCCCTTGCCATTGGCCTCCTCGTAGTAGGGCAGCTCCTTGAGCCTCTCCAGCCAGGCGGCAATCTTGGGGTACTTGGCCTGGTCCAGCTCCAGAAAAACGCCAATCGAGGTGATGGTCGACACGATGCTGAAATCCGCTATGGTCAGCTGATCGCCGGCCACGTAGTCGTGGTCATCGAGAAAGGTCTCTACGAAATCATAGACCTGCTGGACATGAGCCACCTGATCGCGGGGCAACGTGGACTCGCCGTTGAAGAGCACCGGACGGGTGAGTCTCCTTAGTGCGGACTCGAAGATGACACCCGACTCGAAGTGCATCAGTTGGTCCACTTTGGCACGCTGCAGCAGATCCTTGGGATAAAGCTCATCGCTCGCCGCGTACTTTTCCACCAGGTAGGCCATGATGGCATGCGAGTCCCAGATGCAGTCATCATCGTCCTGCATCAACGGCACCGTGTGCTGCGGATTCTTCTTCGAGAAGTCCTCGCTAAAGTTCTCCTTCTCGAACAGATTGACGAACACGAACTCAAAGGGCAGATCCAGAGCCTTCAGGGTGAGCAGACAGGCCCGGGTGGGCGGACTGGCGTCCAGGCCGTATAGCGAGATCTTACCCATTCTCCAGCGAACTTACAAGTGAGTGGTCGGTGCGGCGCCAGGACGAATATATAGCTATCTGCTGGCCCTGGGAACCTGCCAGGCTGTCAATGGATTTTTAATCAGGTCCGCCCATCCCCAACCAACTATACAAGCGAAGTCCGAGAAGCCACGCACCCTGGGAACACATTTTCCAAAATTAAATTATTTACACTTAAATTGCAGCAATGAGTTAGCGTTAAAATAATGACATTGAACCACATGGCATAGTAGTATAGATATAGATATACTTTATAGATCATGCTTCATACATTTTCTTCGAGTGTGGACAATGCCAAACGTTTGTCAACAACTTTCTTTAATTAGCAGAGAATTAAAAATTGATGCAGCAACGCACTCGGTAATTGTGGGAAAGGCTGCTTATAGAAGGGTCAGCTGGTCCTTCAGCAAGTCCAGGTACTTCCTGGCCCCCATCCCGTTGGCTTCCTCGTAGTAGGGCAACTCCTGGAGGCGCTTCAACCAGGCAGTAACCTTCGGATACTTCTCCGCCTCCAGGGGCACAACAGCCGGCAGAGATGAGGCCGTGGCGGCACAGCAGAAATCCGCAACGGTGAGAGTGTCCCCGGTTATGTAGGGATTGTCCCCCAGGAAGGTCTCCAAGTGGCCATAGCCATCCCTCACATTGTCGGCCTTCTCACGCGAAATCTCCGTGACATTATTGTTGAAGTAAGGAGCACAGATGTTTCGCAGCGCCATGAACAAGGCACTGGCATCGAAGTACAGGCGCTGATCCACCTGTGCCCGCTTCACCAGATCCTTGGGATAGAGCTCATCCGTCTGGCCATACTTGCCCACCAGGTAGCAAACAATGGCATGTGAGTCCCACACGAGGACCCCATTATCATCCAGCAGCGGAATGGTGTGCTGGGGATTCTTCTTGAGAAACTCCGCCGTGCGATGCTCTCCTGCCAGCAGATCGACCTCCTTGAACTCATACTCCAATTCCAGGGCTCGCAAGGTCAGCTGGCAGGATCTCACTGGGGGACTAATGTCCAATCCGTACAGCACAATACCAGACATGATCCAACTCAAACAGTTGTGTTAGCGCAATGATACTGACTCCAGCGACTTGCAAAGTGAGTATTTATACCTTTTAGGGCATCGCCTCCAACTCCAACTCAAACTCCAACTCCAACTACTTCCAAAGAACTTAAAACGATCCTGGTTGTGCTGCAGTCCAAAGTACTATTCCCTTCTAGGAAAACACCTTGAGCGTTTCTGAAACAACAAGCCCTTTCCGTAAATATATCGTGTTCTATTGGCTACACTGAGGAAAACTCTCTTTATATAACCCTTTATATATGATGAGATCAAATTCGGGATCGGTTGGCCTCCTCGCAGTAGAACATCGTAGACGAGAGCACAGCGATGATGTGAAAATTAGCAATGGTTAGATATTTTCCAGCCATAAAGTCATTTCTTTGCAGGAACTATACGATTCCGTAAATAATGAGTTTTCCCATTTTCCAGTTTGTTATTTGCTTTTCCTGCTGTAAGTTGAGCTCTTGCTCTTTGAAATGCCTGACCATTGTAGGGCTTTTATAGCTGGGGAGCTCTCTTAAATTAAGAGAGTTTTGCTGTGCTGTAATGACCCGGCAGTAAACACAAAACCAATTATATGACATCAGCCCATATTTCGATTTGGGTGCTCTTTAAATAAGCAATCAGAGGTCTCTGACGTAAGAGAGCTTTATTGACGATTTTCGTTTCAAAGCTCTTAGCACCTGCTCTTTCTACAGTCCTAAAGGTTAATGATTAGATGACGATTATAGCCAAAGTACTAAACCTAATGATTCACGTACGCTTGACCTTTTAGTTATTGGTATAAGCCGGGTCCTGTAAGATGAAGACTTAATGAGGATCGAACGAATTCCAATATTTTAAATGATCTGCTGGGGCAGCTTTAGTTTAACATATTGTACTGAATAATAACAAATAACAAAAAAATCGATTACAAAGTTGATTAAAAACCCATCAATCCTATGCACACTACATATATACTGTATATTGTGATCCATATATCATATCTGCCGCCATATCTAACGCAGTAATCGAGAAATAAAACCCAAAAAGTGTATTAATCGACAAAAAAACCAGTAGTTTCTCTTATCGATTTACTCAAAACAAGTTTGTAGTGATAGCAGGAAAAATTGTCGTACAAAAGTCAAGTGGTTATGGCTTGGTTTTTTACTTATTTATTTTTGTCTATACTAAAGTGTTGTCTATCTTAAGCAATAGTAAAGTTCTTGCTCTTGATGAGCGCGATGATTGGGGCTGAACGAGCGCCATTCGCTTCCTCGTAGTATGGCAGCTCCTTGATGCGCTTGATCCAGGCAGCCAGATCGGGATATTTGGTGGCATCCACTGGCAGGAACACCAGAAGGCCTGTCAGGACGGCGATGATGTGGAAATCGGCAATGGTCAGGCTATCGCCGGCGAGATAATTGCCCTTATCTAGGAACAGATTGAGCGACTTGTAGACACCCTCCAGGTCATCGATCCTCGCGCGGGGAATCTCCGTCTTGTTCTGCCAGAAGAGCGGAAAGGTGATGGCCCTTCCTGTCGAGGTGACCACACTGGAGTCGTAGTGCAGACGCTGATCGACAATGGCTCGCTTCTTCAGATCCTTGGGGTAAAGAGAATCACTCCTGCCGTACTTGCTCACCAGGTAAGAGTTAATGGCATGGCTGTCGGACAGGTAGAAGCCATTGTCATCCAGGGCGGGCACGGTGTGCAGGGGATTGATCTTGAGGAACTCAGGCTTCAGGTGCTCCTTCTCCATCAGATTGACGATCTTGTAGTCAAAGTCCAAGCCCAAGGCCCTCAGGGTGAGCAGCACCGAGCGGACCGGGGGACTTCCGTCGATTCCGTAAAGCGTTAGTTTTCCCATGGCTGTATTGGGCTGTAAGGCGATTGGCTAGTAACTGCTTATTGACTGTCCAAGCCTGGGGCTTTATATAGCCCCCAGGTGGTGCTCTTCACTTAAGAGAGCTTTGCAACTCTGTGATGACTCTGCAGTTTAGCAAACTGAATGTTTGGCACCCGCATAGCTCTTAGCAGTCGTATACGTAATATTTATGTTATTCTCGTTTTAGAGCTTTACAATATAAAGCTCTCTTGGCAACAACTTAAGCATTTATATTTGTTTACTCATCGATGTGGGATTCAAAGAACCCTGTGATAACTTAACCGATAAGCTAGATGATTGTGTTGAGCAATAAAGCAGCTATTATGGGAAGTATGTTTACAACCATAAAACCGATCCCAAACATTTCACATTCTCTTGCTGTTTCAGATTCTCCCTTACTTTATTAAAATCCAATCAACCAAATAAAACGTACCATTTTTGATACAAATTTCAATTGTACAATTTCTTTGTTTTGCAAGGAATTGCGTTTTATTTTGTTGTCTAATACAAATTACTATTGCTCCACGTTTAGGGCGGGTTTCAACAAATTGATGTACTTCTTCATGCCCCGCAGACTGTCCTCCTCAAAATGGGACAACTTCGAGAGGCGTTCGAGCCAAGCAGCCACCTTAGGATACCTTTCCCTATCGAGATCAAGGACAGCGGCCAGTGATGATGCAGTAGCTCCGCAGCAGAAATCAGCAATGGTCAGTTGCGAGCCGGTCAAATAGGGATTATCCCCTAGAAAGTTCTCCAAATGGCCATATGCGTCTTTGATGTTGTCCACCTTCTCCTTGGGAACCAGGCTCACGTGGTGAATAAAATATGGTGCACTGACATTCCGCAGCGACATAAACAGAATGCTGGCATCGAAAAACAAACGCTGATCCACCTGAGCGCGTAACACCAGATCCCTGGGATATAACTCATCTGACTTGGCGTACTTGTCCACCAGATAGCAAGCAATCGCATGTGAGTCCCAGATTAGGGCTCCATTATCTTCGAGGAGTGGCACCGTGTGCTGAGGGTTCTTCTTAAGGAACTCATCCTTGTATTGATCTCCTGCCAGAAGATCCATTTCCTTGTATTCATAGTCCAAGTTCAAGGCTCTTAAAGTCAGTTTGCAGGCGCGCACTGGAGGACTAATGTCCATGCCATACAAAACTATTTTATCCGACATGTTGCGATCACCAGAGAGTCTCAAGTTCCACTACATTCTTCACATACAGAAATCTTAACGAGCATAATCAAGCGACTGATTGGTTGCGCTCATTCGTATCTGAAGTACACTTTTGTAATTGTACTCAATTCCCAAATAAAAGATTTGCCTACAAGTATGCTCTATATGATGCCTTCTTATAAATGGACCCATTTTTGAACCCACTTATGGAGTGCAGAAAAATAAAACATAGATAAGTGTAAGTAGGTAAAGTTACAATTTATTAGCTAATGTACATTGTGGGTAAGGCCTAAGGTCTAAAGTGGCTTCCCTTCCGTATTTAGGCACCCAGCTTGGTCCACTTGCTGCGAAGGAAGGCGACATAGCTTTGGACCGGTCCCTCGTTGATCGCCTTGTAGAAGGGCAAGCGGTTGAGGCGATCCAACCAAGCGGATACCTTAGGGAACTCCACGGGTTCGATGTCGACGGCTGCGCGGAGGGCACTGACTGTGGGCCCGGAGAGCAGGTCGGCCAGGGTCAGCGAATCTCCCGCCAGATATGAGCTGCTGTGCAGGAAGCTTTCCAGCAACTTGAGACCCCGATGGATAGAGTCCAGCTTCTCCTGGGGCACCTCAGTGCATCCTGTGGTCCAGAACGGAGCCACTACGTTGGCTAACCCGGGATAGATTACGCTAGCCTCGAAGAACAGGCGTTGATTGATGATCGCCCGCTTGACCAGATCCTTGGGATACAGGTCGTCCGACTTGGCATACTTGTCCACCAAGTAGGCGGCAATGGCATGGGAGTCCCAGAGCACAGTTCCATTATCTTCCAGCACGGGTACCGTGTGCTGGGGATTCTTCCTCAGGAATTCCTCGCTCATGTGCTCACCCGTTTGCAGATTCACCTCCTTGTACTCGTAGTCCAGATTCAGAGCCTTGAGTGTCAATTTCACAGCCCTTACACAGGGACTCAGGTCTGTGCCGTATAGTACGATTCCCGAGCTGGACATGATGTGTGCGTTGGGTGACTAGCGATTCCACAGCGACTGCCCATTGGTTTTATACCAAATTGGGGAAAGCTTTGACGCTGGGCATGTAAATATTGAAGCTTTCGGGTTTGTTTGTTTGTTTGACTTCAAGTAAAAACTGCTTTGTTCACCATTATACGCATTTTTACTTATTTCTCCAAGAGGAATATCAACACGTTTGAACACTAATTTATTCAACTTATGTTCAAATTTAATTTAATTTAGTATGGTTTCATTATATTTTTATGGCATATATCAGAGTTTTTATACGAAAGCCCTATATTTTTAGGAACTGCTTCTTTTTGGATCAAATAATCTATACATGAATTCTACAGTTACAGCAAAAACTAATACACTTGGTGTATTTGCTGCATAGCAAATTTTTCGTTGGGTATTCCATAATAGGTACAAGTACATAGTAGGTACATACCTGTACATATGTATATCAAGCCAAACTTAATTCAAGCCTGATCTTGCTAGTCTCCATCACAAACTGCTTTGCTTTGAGCTTTTTTCCGAATATAAAAGTTGAGGCTGTGTATATTAATTCTGTGCTTATTTGGCTGCCCTATCGGCATATCGTACATAAATATATATATTTATATACCCAAGTAGCTTAGCTATGGAATTTGCTTAGTAAAAGGAAAGATATTCTGAACAAACCATATATGCCAAAATTTGAACAATATCTTGTATATAGTTTATATTTTTAATTTCATGAATAAGTTCATGTTTTAAAAATAGAGGTGTACATTGGTTTTGGAATTAAATTTGTGAAATTTTATATATATATTTTAGTTGTCAGACATGAGTTGTCAGGCCTGCTCACTTATCCCCCAGCTTGGTCCACTTGCTGCGCAGGAAGCTGACGTAGCTCTGGGCTGGAGCCTCGTTGATCTCCTTGTAGTAGGGCAGTTGGTTGAGCCGATCCAGCCAGGCGGTGACCTTGGGGTATGTCGCAGGATCTATGTCCACGGCAACGGGCAGGGCGCTCACAGTGGGTCCGGTGGACAGATCGGCGAGGGTCAGTGAATCGCCGGCTAGGTAGGGGCTGTTGCCCAGGAACGTCTCCAGCAGCTTCAGACCCCGGTGCATGGCGTCCAGTTTTTCCTGGGGCACTTCGGTAATACCATTTATCCAAAACGGGCCGCTTACATTGGCTACACTGGCATAGATGACACTGGCATCAAAGAAGAGGCGTTGATTAATGATCGCCCGCTTGACCAGATCCTTGGGATACAGTTCGTCCGACTTGGCATACTTGTCCACCAAGTAGGCGGCAATGGCATGGGAGTCCCAAATGTATGTACCATTATCATCCAGCACGGGTACCGTGTGCTGGGGATTCTTCTTCAGATATTCCTCGCTCAGGTGCTCGCCCGCCTGAAGATTCACCTCCTTGTACTCGTAGTCCAGATTCAGGACCTTAAGGGTCAGCTTGACGGTCCTCACACAGGGACTGAGGTCTGCTCCGTATAGTACGATTCCAGAGCTGGACATGATGTGTCGTTTACCCGGCAGCGTTTTTCTTTCTACTGATCGCTCTCTTTATTTACTGTATAGTACACACCTTTTTGCCGCAAGCTTTTATCTGAATGAGCGAGATAAAAGCTCGAATCCATGTGTTTGTTTGATTCTATGTTAAACAGTTAGAAAAAAAACATAAACATATAATAAAAATAATATTTATTTCATCATACAAATAATTGATTACCTACCAATCATTAGTTTTGGAATCATATTTTATTAGTATTAAAATAACTTAAGCTCGGAACTACAAAAAAAATACTTACACACCTAAAATAAGAGCAAGATAGAATGCTATAGTCGAGTTCCCCGACTATCAGATACCCGTTACTCAGCTAGTGGAAGTGCAACATTTAGAGGTATGTCACTTCAAAATCCGATTAAGGTAAGTTGAGTAGTAGACCTAGTAGACCTTTTTCTCTACGAGTAGCGGCTATAATTAATAATGTTACTTGTTTTATATTTATATTTAATCATAGTATACACGTATTCGAATCATGTAGAAACCATGTAAATTTACAATTAATGTCTTCGCAACCAAGCTTGAAAGTTCCTAAAAGCTCTGGGACATAAAAATATAAGCTTACATAAAGCTTATCATTATGGGGGAAAAGTGGGGAATCTATGGATAAAAATGTGTGATCTGTAAAAAATAATACCATGTGCCCCTTTGGGGCTCGGTGCTCCACCTATGATGAAATAAATCCCGGGGACATAGATCAAATATTGACGCAGCTATAGATAGCAGACCGACTTATCTTGGGCATTAATAAACAATCAGGCAAACTTAAACTTGCAGCATTATGACGTCTTTGTGGTAATTATCAAGAAACTAAGTTTAGTATCTAATCTTATCGCGGTTAAAAGAAATTCAAATTGTTTAGGCTGCCTTGAGTCAGTTGTGGATGGCCCACTGTCTGCTGCGAATCTCAATTTAACCAGCTAGAAGGCAACTAGTTAAGCAACCAAGATGGTTAACCTGGTTCTATATGGCACTGAGTCCAGTCCGCCGGTCCGTGCCGTTCTGCTGACCATTCGTGCCCTCCAGCTGGAGCATGAGTTCCGTACGCTGGACATCCAGGCCGGCGATCATCTGAAGCCGGATATGTTACGCAAGAATCCCCAGCACACGGTGCCCATGCTGGAGGATGGGGAGTCGTGCATTTGGGACTCGCACGCCATCATCGGCTATCTGGTGAACAAGTACGCCCAGTCGGATGAGCTCTACCCAAAGGATCCGCTGAAGCGAGCTGTGGTGGATCAGCGACTGCATTTCGAGACCGGTGTCCTCTTCCATGGCATCTTCAAGCAACTGCAGAGAGCTCTGTTCAAGGAGAATGCCACGGAGGTGCCCAAGGATCGCTTGGCTGAACTGAAGGATGCCTACGCATTGCTGGAGCAGTTTCTGGCGGAGAATCCCTATGTCGCCGGCCCGCAGCTGACCATCGCCGACCTCAGCATTGTGGCCACCGTGAGCACGCTGCATCTGAGCTACTGCCCCGTGGATGCGGCCAAATACCCCAAGTTATCCGCTTGGTTGGCACGCCTCTCCGCATTGCCCTTCTACGAGGAGGACAACCTGAGAGGAGCTCGCTTGCTGGCCGACAGGATCCGCTCCAAGTTGCCCAAGCAGTTTGACAAGCTGTGGCAAAAGGCCTTTGAGGACATCAAGAGCGGAGCTGGAAAACAGTGATGCGGAATCCATTGCCTCACGGATATGCGAAAATTGCCTGAAGTTAAATTGTATGTAGAAACCAGTTGAAATCAATGTATTAACAACTTGCGCAGCTGGCAAAATGATTAAAGTTATATTATCTTATCAGTTTCATTTGCATAATCATTTGCTTTCAATAGGCAGACCACTTTTTCCCGGTGTCTAGGCATTGTTTGGAGCTAGCTTAAGATTTTGTAGCCATTTCAAAGTGTTCTTCGCCGGTAAATATCCTTGAGTGCACAATTTTTTTAGGTTTTATACTCGTATAAAGTACTATCTAGCGTGGAGTGCATTTCCAATGGCAACGCAGCCGAAAGTTTACAACTTTTTTGCGCTCATTAAAAATATAAAATTTTCCCCTCCACAAAGCGACACAAACTAGAGGAGGGCGGGGGGAGTGAAAAGCGCAAAGTTTTCCTACCGTGTCGTGCATGCTAAAGTTGTTAAATCATAATTAATTTATGACGGCGCCATCCGCCGAAGCAGCTAGCCACCCCCCAGCGCCCCAAACTCCCCATCATCCCCGTCTCGCCCCCGCTTTATGCCACTTCCAAATTTGCCTCTTATCTCCACTCGGGTCTCGAGCCCCCCGGCCACGCCCTCGCCAGCCAAGTCCCCAAAAGGGCGGCGCCGTCGTTTAAAATACTCTTAAAAAGGAGCCCAAGTCTAAATACCTGCTGGCTGAAGTCCGTTTCCAAGCCCACGGAAGTCCTTTGGGAGCTGCTGGCGTGAGCTGAAATCGCATCACGCAGTCCGCAAATATTTATCATGGGGAAATTCAAAAGTGGTTGAAGTTTCAGATGGATAGAATCTATAAATACCATGATATTTTCCATTACATCTAACTTTTTCCTTATTTTGGAATGCATACACTTATATTTTGTTCTTGACTTATAGAAATGTATTATTAAATATTTATCATGGGGAAATTCAAAAGTGGTTGAAGTTTCAGATGGATGAGGATCTATAAATACCATAGATATTTACCATTACATCTACCATTTTCCTTATTTTGAATCATTCCTGTTGGAATGCATATACTTATAATATATTTTGTTCTTAGCTTATAGCAATGTATTATTAAATATTTATCAAGAGGAAATTCAACAGTTGTTGAAGTTTCAGATGGATGAGGATCTATAAATACCATAGATATGTTCCATTACATCTACCATTTTCCTTATTTTTAATCATTCCTCTTGGAATGCATACCCTTATATCAAAGACACTAGAATTATTCTAGTGTCTTTGCTTGCATTTTGTTCTTGACTTAAAGAAATGTATTAACCTTTCAAGGAATAAACAATATTAAAGAGCTAGCTATTTTTTTGTAAAACCCTAAGCCGGGTTTCAGGAACTCGTGACTTTGTGGGCATCTCAGGGACTTACCTTGCGTCGCCGCGTTTTATGCGGCTCATTGCAGCGGAGTGGTGGCAGGCAAACTAATTGGTTTAATTTCAACTTTTACTTTGGCCCACCCAGTCACCATGCCACCCCGTCACCCGTCACCCGTCAGCCAACCAACCCCCACGTCCTGGCGAGCATGACTCCCCAAAAATCCACCCATCGTGTCAGTGGCATTTGAGAAGTTTGCTTTGCCTGGCACTTCAGTTGCCTTCGTGGCAGGACGCTTTTACTTTTTCCTTTTCCGCTTTTCCAGGATTCCACTTGGCCGCTTTATTTCCTGCTCCGTCTCCCTTTGCTCGCATCTCAATTTATCCTAGTTTTCATTAAATAAACAACTGGTTTCATGTATATCCAAAGAAAATATAATGCGCGGAAGCCATTTAAAAGCTCATTAAGTGCGAATACTTTACTGCTTTTAATGAAATTTATATTTCACAAATTCACTGAATGACGGAGAATATACCCTAAAAATGGCAAGACCACATGGAGCAATTGTTCTATAGCTTAAATTTAATGCTTCGCAGAATGGGGAATTTTTCGCCAGCACACTGACCGCGAAAGTCGTCCATGGACAGGTCATGGAAGGCCACTCCGCCCAGTCCCTGGGCCTGTACGAATCCGGCCTTGATGGCCGCCGTCATGGGATCCTCGTAGCCCACCCAGAGGCCATTCTCGCCGAGATCATTCGCCGCCCTGTACGCGTAGACGCCAAAACGCTTGGTGGGATCGCCCACTTTGCGCAGAGGGGGAACCTCGCGATCCTGCAGTTGCTGCTGCAGCAAATCACACACCTCCGGCCAGCTAAGCAATCCCGATGTAACCGTTTGCCTTCCCGGCGGTGCAGCTCCATTAGTCGCCGGAATGGGTGGATAGCCGGTGATGCCGGAGTTCCGCGTCATGTTCCAAGCGCGTCCGTAACTGGTCACTCCCACGTGCAGCTTGTGGGCACTGATTGCGGACGTCTGGTTCATCCAGTACTGCACCTGGTACTGCACATTGTGACTGGAGTCCCGCTCGTACATGGCATACAGCGGTGCGGGCAGATCCGCCACTTTGGGATTGCGTTCCGGTGTCTGGAAGTCATAGGTGCCCAGGTTGACGAAGTCCACGTTACTCAGAACCTTTGGCACATCAATGAAGACTAAGGCAAGTGAAGTAGTAGTCAGATTCTGTATGGCACTAATGACATAACTTACGTTCCGCTGAAACATGGGGCAGCATGCTGACGGTTAGGAGTTGGCCAGCGCTTCGCAGATCGGAACGCAGCTCGGCGAGAAGGGCGGCAAACTGCTCGCGATGCTCTTCGGACTTCTCGTCCACCGAGGTGGAGCTAAACCAGCCACGAAACGAGCCCCACACCCGCTTAAACACGCCCTGCTGCACTTTGGGCCTATTTTTGGGAAACTGCCAGGCGAGATCGATGCCATCGAAGCCGTGGCTGTTCAGCTCCGCCAATACGCTCGCCTGGAAGCTTTTGCGATGCTCCGGCTGCTCCAGTAAACTGAGGTACTTGCCACTGTCCGCCACGCCCTCGCTGTCCACATCCCGATCGCCGCCCACCGAAAGCAGGAAGCGGACATGCGGATATTTCTGGCGCAGAGCGGTGATGTGGCGATAATGCTGGCGGTCATTCGTCAACGACGGATCCAAGCTCCTGATCCTATAGGTCTCGGCATCAATGCCCGCATAGCCGTAGACCAGAAAGTTGCAAAACTGTAGAGCGGGCTCCAGTTCAGCCAGCGACATTTGGGCGGGGCCTGCGGTGGAGATAACCCCTGATTCACTGGGCACACGTTGATTAAAATTGGCGGAAACTCACCTTCGCGCACAAAACTCTTCGCATCGTAGAAGCAGACCAGTTTTCCCACCTCGCCGTAAGTACACTGCAAAATGGCCAAAAGACTGCAGAGCAGTAATCCGCCATATGGATTGCTTTGAATGAACATCTTGATCATAGAATCACAACTGAACTGGGGCGACGATTTGTTTTGATGGACATCAGTCGACACAAGCGCTGATAAGAACTTGGTGTGGTTGCTGTTCTTATTAGAACAAATCATAGCAATCTGAAAAGCCTTAAATAGCATAGCATTCTTTTGAGCGAAATTCCATTAGTAGGAAATGTTAAATGTTGCAAGCTACAAGAACTCAACAAATGTCGCATATATACAGAGCAGCACCCTTTCAACCCAGATATATGCATCTCCACAATTATTTTGAATGAAAGATTTCGAATTTCATTCGGAGGGAGCCATTATCCATCCTCCATTATACACATTTGCCACAAACTGGCAAACAAACAACCACCCACAGATTAGTCTCTTCCGAAACTCCCAAAGTAAAAAGTGGGTGGGTTGCCAAAGTGTCACTTCCACAACTTCAATGCCAATCCGAAGACCTGCACTCAGCACCAATTTATCGATTCCCACAGGACAATAATGTTTGCTCGTGCTCGTAACGCTTAAGCACATTAAAGCCCTCGACTTCAACGACGGAATGATGAGTTGTCACTCCCCAGGAGTGGGCCGCCATAACTGGGGGTCACCAGCATGGGTCACTCAAACATGGATGGCCGTGTCCATGTCCTTCATCCCCGCAGTTGATTAGCAATTTTGCTCACGTGACGGCAAGGGCCAAATGTGTTGACTGCCATGTCATTTGGTGGAAATGGAAGGGTCAACTGTCAGGGGATGGGATCAGTGGTAAGTTGCTGTTTTTGCTTTGAGTCCAATTGCTTGTTTGTCGGTTCCTCGGATAATTTACTTTCCTACAACGAGATCTTCATTCGTTTTTAGTTTAATCACACTTTGTGCGTACAATAAAGTGTTATTTGAAGTAAAATAAAAAGCGATGATGTGCATCGAATTTGTAGTTTGCCAAACAACTGCACTCTGTCTTACAATTAAACTGTTGATTGTGGCTTGCAAATGAGAGCAGCAAAATGAATTTCAAGTTTATGCACAAGGCCACAGTTGGTTGCACCATAAAACCAAATGGTGAGAGCCATAAAACTAACCGCAGCCCAAAAAAGGACAATAAAAGAAGCCAACGGTGGGAAAAGCCAACAGGAATCAGCAGAATGTAGCCACAAGCACGGACTTTTAGGCAATCAACTAACAAAATGCACACATGTTCGGGAGCACTGCTTCCTACATTCTACATTTTACATTCCACCCCAATGCCAGTGCCACGCCCACTGTTATGAAGAATGAAATATGTTAGTTCGTTTCATTATTTTTATCACAAAAGTGAAGCTTGTTTTTGAAAGAAGCTACTGAGGGGTTTGAACATATTGCCTATTCTTCTGCCAATTCAAGTAAAGGAATACTTTCTTATAGAGCACCTCTAGGGATCTTATACTACACGCCATTGGATTACTTTTAAACCATGATGACAGCAGCGCCAAAACACAGAGAAAGTGCTTGGCAATTACACATAAATATGAAGATTCAAAAGTTTAAGACGAATATGTTTGTGCTGCTTCAAATGCATAATTATTTAAATTTATTTTGTTCGCCAACCAAGCCTGTCTCACTTTCCATGCGAGCAGAACACGACCTCCCTTTGAATATTCCATTCAGCAGGCTTCTGTTTCATTTGAATTTATAGAGCATGAACATGACCACTTGAGACCTCCGACTTGCCGCACTTAAACACCACTCGAGTCCTTCAACAGAAACATTTGGACGGCTTTAATCGTGCCACAACTGGGCAACTGGGTGCTGGCTTTAATTCCTGAATACCCTCTCGACTCGATGATTAACTTTTTTCGAGGGACATGTGGCAGCTGCCCGCAGCGCGTAATTAAATTGTTAACGCACACGTGTCGGTTGGCCGTCTGTAGGGCGCACATTTTCACATATTACGTATACGCACATGTGTACGCTCATTTGGCTCGAGTTCATTTATCCGTAATGCCATCTACGTTGACAAATGTGTGTGGCACAACAAGCAGAATAACAACAACATCGCTTAGCGCATGCGGCACTAATCCTGGATGAGTGGAGGCTGGCTGACTGCGTTAAACCCTTTCTCCGCCCCATTTGCATTCACCTTTCTTCTCGTCGAGACCATCGTGCAACAGCACCCACCACCCACAACCCACCACCCATAACCCCATCGAAAGCCCTAACAATCGCCTCAAGCCCCTCGAAACACCCAAAAAACTCATTTTGCATGGAGCTCGACTGGTGGTTTTTAATGCTTCATTGGCTTAATTGCCAGCCATGTGCATACACACGTGCACCGTGAAAATAGTATGTGTTAAAATTAATTTAAAAAAGTATTAAATACTTTTTATTCAGCAACTTCTTTATGTTACACCTTATGCAAACTGCCTTATTATTTATTAATTAACTATTAAATTATATAAAAAAAGCAGTTATATAATGAAACCTTTTATACACAAAGAATCTAAGATTTGGTTTTGGAAAATTTTTAATTTTTTTTGTGGAAAATTTAAGGTTTTTCTTTCACTGCACAAAGAATGTTACTTAGAAGCTGAATCAAACTTTTGCAAAGTTAATTCGACCACAAACACGTTCACTTACTTTTGGCGGCCACATAGATACACACATGTCAAAAGAAACTTTAATTTAAGAAATACTAAATACGCGCAGTTTCATTCGTTACACTTGCAGCTGGAAATCAGTTTGAATGATTTAATTGAAGATAAGAACTCATTCTGTATTTTTATACATTGATTACAAATTGATGTATAAATTAGTGAGATTCAAAATTTCTCCGGAATCAATCACCGTTTTGTGTAAGTGTTTGCAAATCACAGACAAAGATCTATTCAATGCCACTACATCGATCGGGATAGACTGTTAAAACGCATTTTTATAAATTGTTAAGGTCATGAATTAATGAAAGAGTGCGCAATTTGCTAATCAATCCGATTTGCGCGGCTATAAAAGAGACCTGCTCGAATCGATGGGCAGTTTAGTCGTTGAATCGCCGCAACACTCACAATATGAAGCTGCTCTCGATCACTTTCCTATTGGGACTTTTGGCCTTGGCTAGTGGTAAGTGCTACGATGTGTGCTGGGATTAATCAAAACACGTTTCTAATCGAATTCTTTTACTTACTTCCTCCCTTTAGCCAATCCATTGAGTCCTGGCAATGTGATTATTAACGGCGACTGCAAAGTTTGCAATATTCGCGGCGATTGATGTGCGGAATACAAGCTAATTTGTGTCGGAATATGATATAAAATAAAATCACTGAAACACCCAAATGTAGTTTATAATATTACACCTTTTTGCAGTACGCAATGAAGTTCGGTTTTATTACTGTGTGTGTACAAATAAAATAAATGAGACCATGCCCAATCTCTATTTTCCATAAGATACTTGTATCTACAACTCGTATTTAGCCTCCGAGAACTTTACAATTACGGCAATCACTATGGATAATCATTACCCGTATTCTACAGCAATAATAGATTAGTATTTATGATATTGGGTTGGGATTTATGGATTTATATGGCGAGCAGATTGAATAGAAAGACCAACGACATCCACTTTGTATTGTTGGCAAATAAATAAATGTGCACTTCGTTGGTTTTCTTTAGTACGAAAACGAAATTTAAATATCAGTTTTCTTTCCGGATTGTACTTATCTATGCTTATGCAATCAAACAAGGTTGTTCCACATCTGGAAATGCCCCAGGAAAAAATGTTTCCCTAATGATAAGGCGATGCATATTATAAATATTGGCAAAACAAAAAGCGGCGATAATGACATCAATCAATCGAATATAAATAAATAGATTGGTGTAGATTGTCTCAAATAGAAAATCCAAAACACTATAAAAATAACAAACAAATGTAAATAATAAAGCTTACCTATTTAAAGATTTGTATGGATCGGAAATTCACAGATTTTAGTTTTAGTGTTATAATATAGATGCCATTGTAACGCCCATCTAGTTGGAATATATCATTTAGATATTTATTAGATATTTAATATATGAATAAATGCCTTTTGTCAAACGTTTTAGTTTCTCAGAAATAAAAGATAAAAGCGATCTTAGTTCGCAAATTTTATTAGCGTACCGCTTAGCACGGAATTCAACTGAATATATTATATATAATTCCAAAGAGGATCGCTCCAGATGTCAAAGTGTACGACATGGAACCCGCTGAGTTATGGTCTGGAGGAATTATAATGCCCGGATCGTTATCGGGCTTATTGCAGTCGATGCATTTGCCATTGATGTACACCTTTCCCGGCGTAGCTGCAATTAGGAAATGCTTAGCTAAAAATCCATTGATGTATTTATTTAGTTAAATAATTACCATTTACAGCTGCCAAAAGGCAGAAAAGAAGCATCAGAGTTCCGGCGACTTGGAGGGGTTTCATGTTTTTCCCTGGGGATTTCGAATAAATCTGACTGCCAAAGTGCGAGTGCTCTGCTTTTTATATGGCATTGGTATATACTATATTATATATATAATTGTTTATAATTGTTTAGCGGGATTTTACAGACTGATTTTGAAGAACGGCATGGAAACAAGTAGGTTTTAATAAGCTCTTAAATTGTTGTTATTTACTGAACTAAATTAGAAAGCTGTATTGATTTCAATTCTGAATCATATAGTTGAAAGACTGATCAATTTGGTTGATAATAAATGTATGTCTATTCCAAATTTGTATAGGCTTTTAAATCATTTGTTCGAAAATAAAATGTACTAGTAGTGTATTTCCCATGTCCACTAATTGACAAATTAGTTCTAATTGTTTGAATCTCTAAAAAAATTATAAACTTCTAACAAATATTTAGCTGACTTTAAACACTTCTTAATTACTAGGGATTGTTTCATTGTATGGTTTCCTTTGTAATATTTAAGTATATTAACTAGTATGTATTTAAGTGGCTTGCTGATTATTCATCTCCGCTGCCTTTCAGTTGTTATCTATAGAAATCAATAAGATTTCGCCATAAAACTAATATGTGGTTTTGTTGGAATTTTGTTTAATTTGAGCAATAAACTCTTAGAATTTCTATTACATTTTCGGCTTAAAAATAGGTGGCTGTGTGTACTTCAAGTGGCAAGATTCCATTCCTCCAGCTTTGCTGCCCTTAGGCCCTCACATTGCAGACGCGGCAGTCGCCGTTGATGATGACATTGCCAGGATTGAGAGGAGTGGCTATGGTGGAAATATAAATGAAATCATAATTAAATAACATATATATAGTTTGGGAATAGCTGGGATTACTCACCGTTGGCCAGAGCCAGCAGACCCAGAACGAAGGCAACTGATAGGAATTTCATGTTGTTGGTTTTGTGGTTGGATTCTGAGCTTGACTGTTGCTGAAAGTGGTGAGCTACACTGCTTATATAGCTCCATGCCAGAGCCGTACCGATCTGACTTATCAACCCGCTGGCAGCGACACCGGGAAAAGTCTGGCCGAGATTGGGATTCTCCCAACACCTCAACGAGAAATCCCCATCCCCCAGTGCATCGCTGCTACGTTCTCAATGAAATTGAGCGTAAACAAGTGCAAACTGATAGCCCCGAGCTGCGCGATTGGGTAAGGGAAATCCGAGCTGGTCCAGAGCGCGATTCTATTCACGTGCGGTGGCCGGACTGCAAACCTGATTCCATTTGACTTGACGCCCCTGCGATTCGCTTTTCCCAGTACTGAGACCCGTTTTTATGCGTTCAATTCCGCCGAATCAATAAACTGCCATATTAGCACCCAGTTTATTAGCACGTTTTGTGCGCAAAGGGGTAACCAAGGTACTTGGGAAGAGTCTGGCCTGGGTTGGCGGAGGGTCATAGCTTTTTTCAAACAAGTCCCCAACGAAATTCCACAGAAAAGCTGTTCCTTATTTAATCAGTTTTAAAAACAATTACTTTTGCACTTTATACTTATGTGCTTTTATTTTACTTCTTAGGAACAAAGGCACAGCATATTTGCAGATTTTATTAAATAATAGTATGTTCAACTAATGTGCTTAGCTTATAATGGTGCTTAATTTAACCTTTTCTTTTCAAGCTATTGGTAACAGCGAAAGGAATTGTTCGCCAGATTGTCTGAGATATGTATATATCAGTTTTCTTCAAAAGTATCCTTTTTTGAAGCTTACTTTGGGTTGCAAAATAATATTTTAGAATAATTATTTGTAACTTTTAAATGAAATTATAATTATTATATTATTATTATTAAGTTATTATAATGATATTAGTGATATTGGTGATACAAATAAGTAACGAATAGGTTGACTTGCGTGCAACAGTGCGGATAAGTAATTTATAAGTAATAATGCAAGTCCACTGCATTATTTAAAGATAATATTTTAAATTTATTAGTTTTATTTATTTTGTATTTATTAGTGCCCCCTCTGTCTAATGTTTTGATAAAAAACTAAATATATAACAAATCGAATTGTATATATTTTGGTTTTGTTTTTATTGAAATTTTTTTGATTTCATTTGCTAATTATCATTTCATTTAAGTAGCTGAATAAAAGTAAAATGCGAAAATAGTTTAGTTTTCCTTCATTTTATTTGTAATAGGCAATGTTTTTTACTACTAGTTTTCATTTTAGTACACGAGTGATAGTATAAATATTGTGTTTTGGATTTGAGGTAAGTTTGGCCCTTCTTCGAGTTTTTGCCGAGCACTTTCCTACTTTCCACCGTGCACATTGCAGTACTTGCAGTCGCCGTTGATCACCACATTTCCTGGTTCGGGCGACAGGGGCACAGCTGAGGAATAAAATGAATAATTAATTAACTAATCAAACAGCAGTAAAATATAGTTTTACTAACCGTTGGCCACAGCCAGCAGACCGAGCACGAAAACGGTGGCGACGGAGAAGAACTTCATATTGATTCTGGGCTGGTTGTTGTGGTTTTGGATGCTAAATGCGCAGGCAATTGATTGGATTCAACTGATGCTCTTGGCCGGTTTCACTTGATCTTATATAGCTCAGCCTCGGATCTTGGAGCAGCACATGTGCAATAGTGGGGCGGAGGCTTCTGATAACCCCCATTGAATCGGAGGCGCTTGGGAAAAAACACAGAAGGTTCAGCGCTCAATAGCACCTTGTTTTGCGTATTTAAATCTGGAAATTCCAGTTCGGTGTTTATGGGATGCAAAAAGGTGTGTGTTATGTGTAACTGCTAGTAAGTAGCAAATATTGCAGCAAAGTTCAAGTGAAAACCATTGAAGTTCTTGGAAGTATTCAAATAGTTGCAGTTCTACTTACCTTTCTTTCAACGTACTGAGTAAGTTTGCAAATCAAACTTGTTGTTATATAATTTTGCATCTGGAAATAGCAAAAATTAAATCAAACAATAATAATATTTTGCATATATTTCGATATAGAAATTCAAACCGGCTTGAATACAAACTTTGCACGTGCTACAAATTAAATTAACAGCTATACACTTAAATAAAAAAACGAGTTCATTAAACTTTAATTGAATTTGTTTCTAAATAATAGTTGAACTTGAAAGGTGAAAAGTTAACTTTTTATCAATCATTCATATCTCTTTGTAAATATTTTATAGAAGTTGTTGGTGAAATTAAATATAGCAGGGGCTATAAATATATGGTTAAATACTTGAATTAAAATTGCATCAGCGGCTCTGTTATTTTATTGACAGGTAGTCGACTTTATTGATTTGAAAAATGTGATAATTTATAGATCTACTTTGAAAGGCACCTATTTCCTTTAATCTTTTATTCAGGCAACAGTCAATAGTTCAGCTTTGTTTTAAAACAAAGGTATATTCTATTGCAGCCAGATCGGTTTTCAAGTTGTATACATTATATATAGATTACGGATCTGAGCTAATCGGTCGGCTATATAAGAGGGTGACGGTGATCGATCAGCTTAGAGAGCCGCATAATGAAGAGCCTGACGCTATTGGCGCTATTGTTCTTGGCCACGTTGGCCTTTGTCCACGGTCGGTTTGAAGGCCAAGAGGTTTTACCCTGAGTATAATAAGCTATTTTCTTTCCAGCTGGCAAGGTGTCCATCAACGGCAAGTGCGTGAACTGCTCTCATGATCAAACGACTACCACCACCACCCGCAAGCCCTCAACTGGAAAAGGAGGTAGAGGAAGGACCACAGCCAAGCCCAGTTCCAGGTCACCTCCAGCCCGCGGTCGCTCGTCCTGGGAAGAGGATGATGATGATGATCTGGCCGGCGGCTGGTCCCTGCATCAATCGGCTGGAGGAACTCAGTACATTGGCAGGCGTTCCAAACGCCAACTGCGCGGTGGTCAGTACATCGATTTGGGCGGATCTGGCGGAAGGGGTGGAGGTGGAGGGGGAGGCTGGGCAGGATCTGGCATAACCACCATCGATTCCAGTGGCTATCCCGGCGGAACTCTGGTGCGCAACAGTGACTGCGTCGGATGTAATATTCGTGGATAAAGTCAATAAATTCTTGAAATAATAACAAATACTATATACTGTGGCAAATTATATACATCCATAGAATCCAGGACTCCATGAACTTTTTGCTATTTTATTTCAACTGGAAAAAGGCTTTTTACATTCTAGGGCTTATTTAATTACAATAGCATTATTAGGGCAAAGTCTTGACTATTTGCCACCGCGAACATTGCATTTTAAACAATCGCCATTGATGATTACATTTCCTGGATCCGGTGACAGCGGCACAGCTTTAAAATCAAATGATTACTTATTAAAAGGATCAACTAATTGATTTTTTAAGGTTCTACACACCTTTGGCCAACGCCAGTACACCGAGCACAAATACGGTGACGAATGTAAAGAATCTCATACTGATTTTCAATTAATAGATCCGGTTTTATGAGCTGCGCACCGGACAAGCGATCATCTACTACTGATGCTCTCGATTTACGGAACCATTTCTTATATAGCCGATTATCGGATCTCAGAGTAACCAAGTAAAATAGGAGATGAGAGCATTGACAATGACAATAATAATCTATTACCTATGCATTATTCTGTAGAACAGCATTTTTAACAGCTTATCGCAGTTCAGTTTCATCTTTTTCGTTAAAACTAGTAACTAGAATAAAATAAAGCTCCTCTTGGTTTTTTTTAGTGTGAAAGGAAGTTAATTCCTCTCCTTTCATGTATTTCTTTGATTGGCATTCTAAATGCTATGCAGAATTTCAGCTTAAATGGTTACAACTATTATGTTTAAGTGCGAAGGTTTCTTAATCCTTGGACAGGAAGCTTCCTACTTGCCCCCGTGTACATTGCAAACCTTGCAGTCACCGTTGATGATCACGTTTCCTGGATCGGGCGACAGTGGAACAGCTGACAAACAAGAATTTATTAGTTAAATAATTATATCCCTAAAATGGAGTAGTTTTACTCACCATTGGCCACAGCCAGCAGACCGAGCACAAAGACGGTGACGACTGAGAAGAATTTCATATTGATTCTGGATTGGTTTCTCCGGTTTTGGATACTGAATGCACTGGGCAATCGACTGGGATGAACTGATGATCTCGCCTGGTGGGACCCGGTCTTAAATAGTTGAGCGTCGGATAAGAAAGCCACGCAAATTCAGTGATAAGCCATGCATTTGGGAAAACACAAAAATTTAATCGCTAATCGAATCGAGTTAAATGGCGTTTTTGTTCTATATTTAGCTAGCAATAAACAAAGTAGGGACTTCTGGAAAAGCCCTGCCAAGAGTTATCTGTAAATTGAACTGGTTTCTGGGGCGAATCCCGCACCTGTCCACCCTTGATTGTGCCTCCACTGCATTCTGGTTTCCACAACAAAGCAAACGAGAATGCTTAAAAGCTCTCGCTTTTCATGTGTCTCGAGCAGATTCGTCTAGCAGCTAGATTGAGAATGAGGTGCCTGATTGTGTCCTTTGCAATTGTCGCTGTCCTGGCTTTCCAGGCCACAGGTAGGAATCAGATGGGCACCTCTCACCGCCACAATTTCACTTATTATTTCATTACTCCGCAGCCGGAGATGTGATTATCGGCGGAGTATGCCAGGATTGCAGTCCTCCGGTGGCGGAAAACGTTGTGGTCGGTGGCCAATCCTACAGGACGGGTAGGCCGGGCCAGGGAACGGTCTATATCAATTCGCCCGACGCTTATCCAGGAGCTCTGGGCTCTCCAGTCCGGCGACCTGCGTCTGGCGGCGGACGAGGCGGTGGCTCCCAGTATCCGGATGGCTACAGTGGTCGCCTGCCTGGTGGCACTTACCTTCACAATAAGGATTGCGTGGGCTGCAGCATCAGCGGAGGTGGTGATTAAGCAATTAAACAGTGTTCAGAACATAAAATACCTCGCATTTTTTATTTTTCCGGCATTACTGACCACTCTTTAATAAATTCGCAAGTGTTAACTTTCGTTGGTCACATTATTTTATAAAATTTCTTTAGTTATCTTGTTGGAGTATTTTGTTATGGCTTTCTGAACGTTTTTATCCTGCTTCTTATCTAGGGATATAGTTTTAGTTAGATTTCCATTAAAAACGATGAGCAACGTTATTGTATAACTGATTTTTGAACTTTTAATCTATTTAAGCATCAATAATTTATAAATAAAACTTTATTATGCTAAAGAAATCAAGGCAAAAAATGATAAATCAATTATAAAATCACAAAGACCCTCGTTTAAACCCGTTCTTATTAAATATATGATGCAATTTTATTAAATTTATTATTTTATTATTATTTAAATAGTTCATATGCATAATATTTGTATGCAAGCAATAATTATTGGTCGGGAAAAAAGTTTTGTTTGTTCACATACTTACTGCCAGAATTTATTTAATACTTGCGGTATTCGACAATAATTGACTACTAACCTGCACTGAAAATTCTTTTCAGTTACCAATTAAAATAAAATTCTCCAAAAATATTTACATAAATTATATACACCATTTTGAGAAGAAACTGTAAAAAGTAATAGATTTACACATGATTATTACACAACGTGAAAATAATATGCAGTGGATATCTGAAGTATTTTCCCCCCAACGCCATCACTTGTTTTTCCGCAGCTCTCATCACAACTATAACTATTAGTACATGTATTTAAGTACACGTACTACTTAAAAAGCAAAGCTGGCTAGCAGAAGCTTTTGAGCTGCAGTGCATCCGAGCCACACGCCCAGTTGAGTGGGATAGGTTATCAAGAGCGGGGCTTGTGGAAAACCCAGGGATTTATAAAATATTCTAGGGTATTTTCTGTTGCTCCAGTGTTACTCACCGTCGAGATAAAGAGATACAGCTGTATAAATCGAGCTGCAGTTGAGCGATCACAGTCATTGAATCGCCTCAATTGTCGCAGCGATGAAGTGGTTTTCGATTTTGGTTCCGCTACTGGCGCTCATTTCCCTCGTCGAATTTGGATATGCCCGTAAGTTCTATAACTTTATCCTGCCGAATATCCCTTACAATAAATGCTTCTATTTTAGGAACAATACCCAGGATTACCATTCGAAATGGCGACATTATAGTTCATGGAAACTGCTATGGCTGCACAGCACGCGCCACCAAAAACTCGGCGCATTTGTCAATCAAATTTACTCGAAGATGGTAAATGTTGCATGAGTCACATCTAAAGTTACCTCAAACTTGCCATAATAATTAAAAAAAATATATATATAATATTAAGTATTAACTTGTGCGCATAAAATAAAAGAAATAACCATTATGCTAAAGTGCCAGCGCTTTGTGTGTCAAAAATATCCTTTGAAATGGAAAGAGAGCAGCTTAAGGCATTGTTCTTCGTTACAGGTTTAACTTCAGTGTACTAAATTAATAATAGCCAAATTGCAATGTTCTCGTAAATTTGTCGTAAACTCAAGACTGGATCGTAAATCATTCCTGGGGCCGAGGAAGGTTCCGTTTTGGCTTCTGTTTTATGCCTCATTGGTGGAAATATTTCAACAAAAAGGCATAAAAATTGCCATCATATTTGGCTTTACCCGGAGCCATGCCGCCGAGTCGAACACGTGTTTTTCTCGTTTTCCTTGCGGCAAAGGCAAAGGCATTTCCGCGTGTCCTGTGACCCGTGTCCTTTGTGAGATGTTTTATTGCCAAAGAAAACCGAGCGAAGGCAAACCGCTGTGCGCCTGTAAATGACTCCCCAGGCACCTTTATATTGACTCGTAAAATTGCGACATTTAGTTGTGTGTGAGTGGTGTGGGCGGGGCAAACAATCCAATCCCTAACCGACTTTTTCGGCCTGGTTTTTGAGGTGGAAGTCGCCGTTTTCTGAGGGGCTTCTCAAAGCTTTAAATTTGATTTTTATTTGCCTCGGCCGTTGTTAGCGGCAAACGATTTTTTTTATCGCGCACAAAAACTCGTCGTCCTTCTAGTCTTTGATTTAATTCAGCGGAAATTGAGTTTTGGCTGGAAAGAAAATGGTGAAAAACAATATCAAGTGGTGCATGAAAGGAATCAAACACTTGATAGATTTTTGCCACTCCCTTTGTGTGTAATATGAACTTCTTTGTGCTGGAACTTTGATTAATTTCGTATTCGAGGTATTAAGAATTTAATTGAATTTTTCAAGTGTGCAGCCGATAAGGACTCAATTTTTAATAATTACATTCAATTCGTTTCGCTTGCCGACGCCACATTGCGTATACGCACAGTTGCACATACAAATTCTCCGTCCGCCTTTTCATTCCTTTATTTTAATCATTTTTTATATAAGCCCACCGAATGAAAGTGGCTTTGCACTTTATTCGTATTTCCATCATGACTTTTTCCATAATTATACTGAGCGGTTGGTGAAGAATGCCAGTAAAACGTATTATATAAATATTACTATGCAATTAAAATGTAAAATAATAAATGTTTGTTTAGTTCTTTGTACTTTGTACCATTGTTGATATCCCCTCAACATTCTTCTGTGTGCAATGGAATTTTCGGGTCAATACGAAACAGTAGCGAAAATATTCAATATCGTAAACCCCAGGATAATTGCACTGAACAACTTTTACGTGTGGGTTAAAGAAAAAGATAATATGCAATAAAATGCTCTTACGTAGTTTACCTCTACCAACGAAACACCATTTTCCCATTTATTCCGGCAAATGTCATTGCAACCTAATTACGCACATCGAACTTGCTACCCTTGGGAAAATCGACAGAGAAACCAAATATGCAATCAAATTTTGTCAAACACACAATGTGCCCCCAAACTTTTCGGCCGTTTCGAGGAGCAGGACATGTGGCCAGCAATACCACTGAAGGGGGTCGGAAAACAATTGCCCGGCCACGCCCCCGAGGCAGCCCACCAACACCACCACCGCCCCCCGCCCCAAGGCCGATCAACTGGTCATTCAATTTTGCAGGCCCACCGCCCTCGGGCGCCTGCATTATGCAGCTTACCCCGGACTGATTTCATTTTCGTAATTACCTCACCGACTCGAACCACGCCCCCAAACTCCCCCACTGCTCAGCAGGCTGCTGCAGTGAGAGAAAACTAGCTGAAAGTTCCTTAGTAATACACATAGTATTTAATTTGTTATTGCATATTCGCTTATTCGCACATGGCATAGTATTATTGTAAAATACAATCTATTTCCAGGCTCTATCAATAGACAGATTTCATGGGAAAAAGGTTTTGTTTATTATTCATTTTAATCTACAAGTATAAGCAAATTACAAACCAAAGCAAATTTAAGCTAAGAAACTGTTAAGAAACGTATTTATTATAGGTAAGCTGATTTTAAACTTCTCATATCTATCTTTAGTTGTTAAACGCACTTGTATATATTCTTCAGCATCAATTATTTCGCTCAGTGTCCCGTACCCTTAGGTTATCGACAGGTGGCGCACTGAGGGCTTGTGCTCGTTGGAGCTGGCTTAACGAGTTGATTAAATGCTGTAATTGATGAAATTGCGAATGGGGATGCAAAGGTGTAAATGATCGGCTTGGAATGCCGCCTGGATAAACATGTCATTGTCGTTAGACGATGCCGGTCGATTGGTTCAGCTGCCAAAGTGATTCCGACCCATCCCAGCCAGCCAGCCAGCCATCCATCCATCCCTCCATTCCTCCACCCAACCGCCTGTCCAGCGAACCCTTCGCTCCCGCTCCTCCTTGCTCATTGACCATCATCAGTGGGCATCAATCAGAGTAGCGCCGGGAATGCGAGCGTATTCATTTCATAAATATTTGCGGCAAGGGTCGAGGCACGACGACTGCATAAAAGGGTCGCAAAAAAGGCAAACGGGAAAGGTCGGAATAAAAAATGATTTAAAAATTGAAAGGATTATGGGTGAGCGGCAGCGGAGCGCGTTAATGTTGATGGTCGGATGCTTGGATGGTTGGATGGTTGGATGCTTGGATGGTTGGATGGGTTCCCTTGGGTCGGATTCTGGGGACCTGGGGACGGGTCTGCTGGTATGTGGCTGGTGTCGCTGTCAGTCAAACAAAACAGGATTGAAGCTGAAATCAACGAGTATGCCAACAGGCTTGCTTTTGTTGGCCAACAATATAATTTGAACAGGAATGGAAAATAAACGAGCCGCACGAGATGTGATTTTTTCGACACAGACAACAAGAACGCAAAAAAGGCACACAAAGCGTGCAGTTTTGGTATAAATCAAACGAAATATGTGAACAAAATGGTTTTTATTTCGACTCGTGAAACCGGAATAGACATACAAAATGTGTGGACAAGCACGGTGGCATAAACGGATCAGCTGAGTTGCAAGTTTTTTTTTTTAATTTTACCAAAATTACTATTACCTTTAAAAGACACTGAGGATTGCGAATGCAACAATGAACTGGATAGAGACTTTATAAAATCGTTGAAAGCTGAAGTGTCTTGTAAATAGTATTATAATCATTTCTAGTAATGATTACACCAATTAGTGTTATTCAAGCACATTTAATTTATTTAATATTAAGCAGGGAAACATCCACTGTACTTAGCATTTCATTTTCATTACCTATCCTCTTCAATCCTTCCTCTCTGTCAGCCACTGTGCAGTGACGCCTTTTATTTGAACACTAAAACACAGACACTGAAAACAAATATATTTTCCCTTTACACGAGACTTTTAGCTGACAAGTCTCACATTACTAGAACGTAGTCATAGTGATTTAATTATCACGAGTCGTATTTTATGGAACTATATACATTTACGGAACTAGAGCTGCTGAACTTCTCGCCGTGTATCCACATGGGTGGACTTTCCTCCGACATTGTGTGCATCCTTATCCCTTGGAACGGACAACTTCTACGGCTGCTGCTGGCAGTTTGCACAACGATAAATGTTATAACTGAGCTGGGGATTTGCAGCTACTGTTCGGGAGCACGGGAGTTTGGGAGTGGAACAGCTGCTGCTTTTTGGGCCGGACTTGGTCTTGGACTTGGATGGGCAAAACTCAATTTATTGTCGGTGGCCGCAAGCAGAGGACTCCCCCCGCACTTGCCCTTCGCACAAAGCGCCCCGCCAGGACATTATCCATCTATCACATTTTGTGTATCTCGCTCTGCTCTCTTTCATCTGCCCTGTGGCTGTGTTTGTTCGGCTGGCATTTCCACATTTCCCTCGTTTCCACATTTCCCTCGCTTCCACTTTGCCCCACCACCAACGACGTCGGCAGGACTTTATGATGTCCATTCTCGCTTTTCGGCGTTGACTGCTGAAAATTGAAAATCATAATCGCATCAACTTTCTGCACCGAAAACTTTCCCCACTGCCTGCGAAAGTTCCAAATTTCTCTGCGACTTTCACCCATCCCCCAGAGTAGGCAGTGCACAAAAGTCTGAATGCTAGAAAGATAATTTGTTGAGATTAGTTTTACAACACAATGCGTGGGTATGCGGCGGGTGGGTATGCCGCTCCTGTGTGTCTTGGTTAACCTTTGCTCATTGTGGTTGCCTTTTATCAGACAAACCGACAAACAGACAAACCGACAAACTGACAAACCGACTGTGGCTCTGACCAACTTTCGTGCATATAAATTATGTGCAAGTTGATTATAAAACAATGCAAAACTGCCCAAAAGTTTTCAGCTCAAGTTGACGTTAACTTTGATAGTTTGCCCTGGACCCACTGAGAGCCACCTTTTCCCAGTGGCTCACTGGGTGGCACAAACGAAATGGGGGTGGCTCAAGCGGCAACTTACGCACGGGGTGGTTTATATTTCATGGAAAAGCCATTGTGAAGAAATTTCTTTTATGAAATATAGTGATTTCCCTTTCAAGACTATTTATTTGGTGAATGCTGTCGCTCCTTTTGATTCCAATTTAATTCAATTTGAGAAAGCCATTCAAGGACTGCTACCCATAATGCCCAAACTTGACTTTCTTAAGACTGTCACAGTCTGATAACTTAATTTAGAATATATATGTATATGGCTAGCTCCTCGAGTTGGTAAACAATACAAAGGGAAGCTTAATTTTCGCAGTGTTTAAGATAGAGATACTTTACTCAAACTAGAAGTTGCTGGCCCAACCTATCACGTTGCCATCTCTGTGTGGCCAATCAGTAGCCAGCAGCGTGTTTTCTACACTAAGTGGTGCTACCCCCTCCTGTTTCAGCTCTCCCCCTGCCCCATGCCACCGTAGAAAATTAGCGTCGCTCCGTTGGCCATAAGCCTGTCATGATGTGGCAAGTTGGCAAGTCGGTGCGTCTGC